GAGGAGTTATTCCTGCTGTGCCGTGGCTGAAGGTCTTTTAATAGGATTAATCAGAAATCCTGCCTGTTTATTCCATGAGTAAATTAGGATGCAAGTTTTAAATTAAAATAATAGAAAAATACTTTTTTTCTAATAAGAAAAGTTGCTTGTTGATCCAGTAAAGTTAATGGGAACATTCCCAGGGTCCCTGAGGCCCTTGATGTTTCAGACTGAAGATCACACCTCAGTATACCCTTCCCCTACATTCCTCTCTGACCCTGAGTATGGCTCAGGCACAGTATTCAGTATGTTTCTTTCAAGTTTCTTCTCCTTCTGCTCCCCGACGTCCCTCTTAAAACGGCTGCCAGGAGAAGTGGAGCGTAGGGCCCAGGACTGCGGTTAGCGGCAAATTAGAGGGGCTGCCTTGGACCTGATGCAATCCTCGCTGTCATGACCCATAGCAGGTCATTAATGAAGCCAGACAAAGCTTCGCATGTGTGGGAGGCTATTTAGCTGCTGCTGCGAAAAGCTTTTAAACAGAAACAGAGTGCATTTTTATTTAATCTGGGGACATTTCCAGTTGGTAGATAAACAGAAATATATCTTATCAAGAAGATTATATTAAGAAACTGGGACAGTGGTTTCCTTTATTTTTACATTTTTATTAATATTTAAACAACGAATATCAAGTGTAAAGCCAGCAATACCTCTCCACTCTGTTAGTATTTCCTAAGGTTAATAAAGTTATTAAATCGATAGTGTTATTATTAGAAAACTACAATTGTGTCTCTGGGTTGGGGGAAAGGTGTGGCAGTGGAAATGGAGGATTCAAGGGTGGATACCAGGACTAAAGAGCTCCGCCGTCCCCTAAGTGGAGATTGACTTTAGGCAAAGAAAAAACTGAAAAGTAAATACAAATATTTATCCAACATTTAGCCTATGCCTGTGACTGTCTGTGGATACAGAGTTTCCTCATCTCTTAAAAAAGTTCAACAAACACTACTTCTGTTACACATGGGCTATATATAATAGGCTATATGCACAGCTCCTCTACTTCCTGAAATTTAACCTGCTCCTTTGTTTTTTGTCTTTCATTATTGGACAGGCTGATTAAACCCAGTGTATCTTGCTGGTTACTGGGGTCCTTTTCTTTTTAGCCCTCTTCTGACCTTTGCCTGAATAACTCCTGCAATTTCTTTTTCTTCTCTTTAACAGTTTTTTCCATCAGAGACATAATATAATCAACCGCTTCCAAAAACATCAGAAATTAATGTTAAAATAAAATCTATGTTTCACACAGCGACTGGAAGTAGGTTATTATTAGATTAGATATTTGGGTTATCTTAGTATAATCTCATCATACATATTATTATTATTATTGTCTCACTTGATAAATACAAAAAATCCTAATTACTACAATTAGGGATGCACGATATAATCGGCCCCCTATCGGTATCGGCCTGTATCGGCCTTAAAACTGAATATCGGACATCGGCCACCCCACCGATATTTAACCCGATATTTGATCAGCTTCTGAGTTTCTAAAGTCTAAAAAAAAAAAAATACTACTTCTTCTTCTTTTTCAAAAACTTCTTTTTTACAGACTTAAAAACTTCTAAAGACGAGGGAAAAAATATTGATACATTAAAATATCACAATATCTTCATATGCTGATATATTGCCATTTAAAAACACCATATCAATCTCTTTTACTAATGAAATATTGCTATATGTCATCGTTATGCTACGAAATCCCCCGAAAACTCACGAAATTTTGCCATATTTTTATATGTTGATATATTGAGCGGTATCGATCTATTTTACTAACAAAATCTCACAAGAATTTGCAAAATATCACAAGAGTTTGTAACAGAACAATGAAATTTCATGAGATTTTGAAAGTAAAATAGATGGATACCGCGTTTTTAAAAATCAATTTGATATCAGCACATGGAAATATATTTGAATATATAATTTTTCAAAGTGTCAGAAATGGATAACAAAACTGCTATTTTCAATGACTACTTATTTTTGTCCAGCTTTAACGTCGGTATCGATATCAGTTTTCGGCTACATGAGTTTTAAAATATCGGCATATCGGCCAAAATCCCAATATCGTGCATCCCTAACTACAATATTTGGAACAATAAGAAAAATAAACTGAATAAATTAGCATTAAACAGGTGGTTATCTCTTCCTCCATCATTCTCAGTTCATGCAGATCTTGTCTCATTAAGTTTCCTGTTACTGATTCATCAGTAACTACATATTTCCAAACTAAGTAGTTGAAACACACAACTAAGCCTGAAAGTCTGTGCTCATAAATCACAACCATAAATCAGCAAAGCAACTTATAATAACTAACTGTCTGAAGACATAAACTAAAGGTCACCAATCAGTTCTAAAACATCTTTAGACAGACCCGTGATGATCCCTGAAGAACCACGGTACCTGATTAGCACCTTACAAGGATTTTTCAATCATTCTGCAATATTTTATCTAAATCTTTTTCTCCTGTAAGCTGTAACCAGTGGTCTTGATTTACTTTTTGTTGATTAAATTGGATTATGTGACATTTTGGGTTCTAATCTTTAGTAAAAAAAATAAAAATAAAAAAAGAGAAATCATAGCCCTATTTGTTTTTTTTTTAGCTGTGCATGAACCAAACATGTATCACAAGGATGAGCCCAATCCAAATCAAATAAATTGATTAACATACATAAATAACACAGGGCAGCTCGCCATCAGTAGTGACCAGTTGTGATAACAAACTTCTGCTTCTTCCTTCATTTTTAAAGTGGTGCGCTCTGTTCCCCTTCTTTACATTAACAGCAGCGCAACTAATTATTGTACCACCTCTTTCCACTGTTCAACATGCTCACACCCTCTTTCTACCGTGATGATTTCAATTACTCTTCTGGAATACAAAAAATATCAAATAGACTAATTTAGTTTTGGTATGGGAAAAAAACTGGAATAATTTTATCTACAGAAGTCAGTAGGGTTGGTATAGATAGATGAACTATGGTAATACTACAGTATAACCAGGGGACGGTGGGTGATAGACCCTTTGGTATCTGAACGATGTAAAATTTTACTCAAATATCTGCAAAATATATATATTTTTCATTTAAAAAAATGAAAAACATGTTTTATAGCTGTAAGTACTGTTTAAGTGAAGAACTTAAAGTGAAAAGCAACAAACAGAAATAAATCTTTGCCTGATTTTTCCTGTTTACAGCAGATAGCATCTACTGGAAGTTAGAAAAGAAGCCATTTTAGATGTGAAGTAGTCACTGAAAAATATTTCAAATACTTTGTGGTTCATGTGTGGACTGTTTTTTTTCCCACAGGGTGAACTGGTTTAGATATAGTTTAGTATCAATTTTAATAATCTAAAAAACCTAAATCATGATAGTTTGTGCTAGTTCCACAAAACAAGTCTAATACATTTAAATGTGTTTCCCTCACAGTGTTAGTAGCAACTTCCAACTATTAAGATCAATCTGGCAATACCTTTTTTGAAAAATAAGTGATAAATCTAGCACTGTTTTCTGGTTTTACTAAAGACTTAAAGGCCCTAAAACAATATGTTGTTTCCACACTTCTCAATGAGCTGCAGGTGTTGCCTTAGACTGAGCTCGCTTTGCCTCCCATCTGCAACGAGATCTCGTCCCCATCAAGAGTTTGAAATTAATCATGCAGTCATAAAAAACTGCTGCTGGAAGATCCCCTGTTAGTCAAGACAGAATGTAACTCTAATATATTCATCTGAAATTGATAGCTGCATGGGCTGCATTCTGTTTTAGATTCCTATAACAAGGTCTTTCTGCATGGAGTTTGCATGCTCTCCCTAAGCATGCGTGGGTTCTCTCCTGGTACTCCAGCTTCTCCCACATTCCAAAAACAAGGCTGTTAGGTTGATTGGCTTCTCTAAATTGTCCTTATGTGTGAGTTTGTGTGTGCATGGTTGCATGTTTTTGTGTTGCGCTGCAACAGACTGGCGACCTTTCCAGGGTGTACCCTGCCTCTCGCCCATAGACTAGAGAGATGGGTACCAGCCCCCCATAACCCTTGACAGGCGCGGGAGAAAATTGTTGGATGGATTAATATAGCCCCAATATTATTGCCTGATTTTGCTCCATTTATATCAATAATCTAGTACAAAATGCAGCCAGCTGCAGCAGAAAATTAAAAAATATACAATTTAAAACTGATAAAAAAACAAGTAACTATTGAAAAATTAAGGGGATTGGTTATCTTTTGGTGATTGATATATATGGTTTTGCTTCCATTTTTGCACGAAGTGCTTTAACTGTAAATTTGTATATAAACCAACCAAAGTTCCCCTAACACGCATGGAGAACGGACTCATTTGAGAAACACATAAAAAAGTTAAAAGGAGAATAAAGGCATCAGATTAATCGGATGTAAATTACTACATCAATAAACCACAATCCTACAGCGATTTTTTTTGGCTCTATCCTCCCAACATTAGGCTGTTTTGGATGTTTCTGAAATCTGACATAAGGACTGAACAGCAGCAGCAATTCTAATCGGGAATCTTTTATCATCTCCTGCTATCTAACTTTGCCTGTTTCTAAGCAAATCTTCATATGTTGAAAGAGGCCTGGCCCGCTAGTTTAAACTTCTGAAAGTCCCCTCGGTAAAATGTGAACTCTGTACAGCCGACATGTTAGACACAACAGGAAGAATGGGAGAAGAAAGTCCGCCCTTTTTTTGGATCAGAGGCAGCTTCTGGTTTGCTCCACAGAGGAGGGACCGGGGTCTATATTTAGCCGGTCCCACACCAGCGGACACATGGAACGTGGAATCCTAAAAACCTCTGGGAAAGATTTAAGGAGAAAAATGCTCAATTTTTCAGCAACTTTTATTATTATAAAGTTTTGTTAAATATCAGTTTATTACTGTAAAAGTTATTTGCTCCCATTATTCTAACACTAAATAAAACAAATCCTGAGCTTCAAGGTTTAACACATATTTCTTTCCCTGTTTTTCAGTAATAGATGTCGCCACAGTGAAACATCAGAGCCAATTCGGCTGGACACAGGTCTGTTTCTAAGCTGCTGAAAACAAAGCCGAAGCCTGGATCGATCCGCTGAGCCCGACCGCTCTCCAATAGGATCGACTGCATCCAGGAACCCAACTGCATCGTGCTCTCCTCAATTTCTGCCTCTTTAATCTGTTCAGTAATGCAAACAATCAAGCCACAAAGCGTGGGACAGAGTTTAGCTTGTACATAACAAACAGAGTTAATAATCCAGTGAAAATCTGGAACTGCCTTTTAATCTTGCAAATAAAAAAAGTGCAAAGTTTCCGAGCCTTAATTTTGGAGCTCTGTTTGGGATCAGAGAAACATTTTGCCGATATATTAATTGGATTTTACTTCATTCAGGCTTTGTGATCATGAATCTCCAGGAGAAGCTGTCAGGCCTTAAAGGGCTGGTCTCACACTCCCACAGCAGGCGGCGTTATAAAGGGGACCTGACGGTGGACATGATCAGCCCTCCCCTGGGAGACTTCCGCCACACCATGCATGTTGGACGTGGAGGTGATGTCTTTGGGGACACCTCCTTTCTGAGCAACCACGGTGGGACGTCCAATGGGAACAATGGGGAGACGGATTCGGTCTCCTCACCTGACAACAAGATCGGCGCCTTCTTCTCCAGGACGCTTCGTCACATCAGGCGAGGCTCAGACAACCGACCCCGAGAGGGAGCAAAGGATCTGTCCCCGCCGCCTCCTGCTGTTTCTCCCATCATCAAGAACGCCATCTCCCTCCCCAGGCTGGACATAGACATGCCCAATGGGAGTCCCACCACCAAAGTGCTCTTCCCTAGTTCAACACCAGATGAACAGAAAAGCTCTTACGGTGAGTATAAAAACCTGGTATGTTTGCATACACAGTTGATCCAATAACATTTGAACAGAGCTGTAAAAATTTTTACGCCCCATCAGACAAAGATATGCAACTATAAAGACAAACTTTTACAGATAAAAAGAATGCAATGTGTCATATTTAAATATCTAAATCCTCTCACACACAGACAGCTCAGTCAGGGTCTCTGTTATTAGAGCAAACGCTGCTGATTATGAGCAGTGGTGATTCATGAGGACATCTGGGACAAATCTGTCTCCGGATGACTGAGCAGCTGAGTTTCACTGTGGCGTTCTTTTCCATTATGTTCAGAGTTAAATGCCGTTTAACTCATCTGACCTTCGACTTTTTTACTTTTATCAACAGTGTTGCAGTTTAATTTGAAGGAAAAACAACTGAAGTTGAGCCTTGGGACAATTTTTGGATTTACTGCCGCTCCTCTCCTAATCCCAAAATAGAAGAGCAAAAACAGATGATGTCATGTGAGCTTTCCAGTAAAGATAAATGGGGTGTGCAGTAATCCTGAGATGTTTGCAGAATCAAAACTTGTTCCAATAGGGTTGAACAGAGTCAATGTGGAAACAAAGTGTTTCTAATGTAGAAATCATCAAAATCCTGTTTATGTCAAAGGTAATCTGAGAAATTACAGAATGTGGTTAAGAAATTTTGATTCCATTCATTAAAGCAGTGTTTCACAAACTTTTATGACTTGTGTGCCCCTTTGGGCATTTTGTCTTACCATGAGAAACCCCCTCAGTCAAAATTATGCTGAACACATTATGTATATACATTATTTTTACTTAATCTTTTAATTTAAGCTTTTAATTCTTAGGCATTTAAATATTTCCATCTCAAATAAAAGGCAACAGCTACAAGTATGTTGCCTGGAAGTTACTAAGGCATAAAAATAAATACAAAATAAAATCCTATTTTAAACCTTTAGTTATAAAACTGGAGCTCCTCAGAGTAACTCCTTTGTTATATTTAAACTTTATGAATTGGGAAAAAAAAAGAGAACAAAAATTTTAGTTAGACTGACTTACTTAGTTGTAGTTTTTTTTTTATCAAGACACCTGAGCTGCTTTAATGAGCTCCAATAGCTCAATGTGAAAAACAGCTGATCCAAGGCTGTTTTCTACATCCAGTCTGTTCCTCTACCTGGTTTGGATGTGTGCCAAAGCTGAAAGTGAACTAAAACATATAAGAAGAACTTACTATTTGGTTGATAAAAGCATGTATTAAATTTTAATTGGTTCCTTACAAAGAAAAACAGATCCCAACACTATCTTATTGCCTAGGAAATAAAATATTTTCATGTATCCCTTGCAATGCACTTGTGGACCACTAGGGGTACGAGTACCCCTGGGAATCACTGCAACAAAGCCGGGCGTACACTGTGTGATTTTTTTCAATCGTTGCACGCAGTTGCTGCTCACAGCTCACGATTTATGTTCGGCCCGACGCTCTGAAGCAATCTACCTGCTCACACTGTATGACTAAAAACCCCGTCGGACTCAGCTCCGCAGTGAGATGAAGCTGCTCTTTAGCTCTCTATCCTGAAGCCAAATAAATAGAAGGGGGATATTAAGCTCACTATAGTGAAATGCGCTGCCTTGTCAATTTGTGCAATTTTGTGCTGGAATTCCTAAAAAGAAAAGGCAACGACGTATTTGAAAAAAGACATGGCTAAACAAACGTGGCTACTACAGTATGTCAATTTAACAGACAGAACTGCATTTCACTCATTGCATCCCTGCCACGCTGCTGTGTTTACATCTGAGAGGAAGAAGAAAAAGAAGAATCCTTGAAAATGGCACAGTGTACGCCGGCCTTAAAAGAACAAAACATCTTTAATAAATCAACCTGGCCAAATGTGAGAAAGCAGTCGCCCCTTAACTCTGACAGTATATTTGGTTGTAATTAGGTGGCAGCTTCAGCAACTGCCATCAGGTGTTTCTAATAATTGCCAATGAGACACTGGGATTCCCACTCAGTTTTGGTAAATTAAGGGAATTCAGACACATTCTACATCTAAAAATGTAGTCTTAAAGTCTTAAAGATGTAGTGAAGGATTCTCTTTTTCCGGGTGGATCATCAAAATAAGTGGTCCTCCTAATTGTCAATCATTCTGCTGATATGTTTACGTAAGGCCATCCTACATGCTTTTCACCAGTTACTTATATTTTTCTGTGCATGCACACTTTCAGGTGCACGTATATTTGTGGTGACCTACGGTTTCAGCCAGTCATTGAAGCTCACCTTTTTCACCGCGGTTCTTTGAAAATGGCTGAGGGTTGTAATAGAAAAAAATTCTACAAAGTGTATGAGAAAAAAAGGCCTCAGAGGATAGTAGTCAGTTGTAACTCTGGTCTTAGACCTGTGATTCCGAGCTCCTACCTCCTGTTCCTAGCTTTCGTCCTTTAACTTTATGTGGCATCATCAACAATAAGAAAACCAGTTCCTCCAAACTGCTGTGCCAAATCCAGAAAGCCTTCAGCTCTACTGATGTCTTTACAGACCGAAGCATACATGGATTGTAGTAGTCAAACTGGGTCTACAGACTTCAGCAAAAGGACTACAAAACACAGAAGTTAACAAATGTCGAGAATGGCTGAAGCTCTTCAGTTTAAATATAGAGGAAAAAAAGAATTTCTGTTAAACTCTGGGAGGTGGGCTTTTCCTACGTATTCCTATGTCATGCAAAGGATTGTGGGTCATCTGTATAACTCCTAGAAGCAGCTAGGGGCATCAAGAGGTCCCTATGCTAAGTGAACTCTTGATAGGAAGCATCATGCTCCCCTGCTTACCTCCATCTTTACTGCCAGCACTGCTTCTTTGTATCATTCAGATCAAGCAAAAGTGTTGAATGATTCAATTTTACCTTAGCTGAGGCTGTAAGACCTGCAGAGCTTCAGATATTGTTCAGGGATTCTCAGACATTTATATAAATATCTTAGTCTAATTCATGTTGCTCTGCATGTTCTGTTTATGTTATTTTATGGCTCTACAGGACCTGAAGGGATTGAAAAACATGAATAATCACAGTTATTTCTCAATTTAAAAAAATTAATATTTACCTAAGGGGCCCGTTTGGTTTGGATGATTCAAACACTTAACAAATATAATCATTAATTAGAAATATTTTTGGTTAGAACTCAGGTAATTTCTTTTTGGTATTGCATAATTTGTATTAACTGATTCACTAAAGTGCAGCAAAAACACAAAACATTTTAACTGCCCTGTTTTACATAAACCTTTCCTTTACTTTGAAGAGGTTTTCACTCCCTTTCAGCTTTTTAATGCCCATGTAAAACCAAATATTCCATAGTTTCTGTTTGCCTCTCACATAAAGTCCTCAACAGTACCTTGAAGTTTTTGGTTTAAATATGAAAACAAGTGAAACAGCTCAAGTAATGGCAAATAGCGTCAACAAGGCAAAGTATTTTCATTTAAGATGGGTTGGAAAGCAGATCTTTTCGGCCTCGGAAAGAATCAAGCCGGTGGTTTTTCTTTTGCTTTCAGGCTTTATGCTAAGTGAGGCAAATCTTCTCTTGGCTGCAGTTTCCCAGTCAGAGAAAAATAGCTCATGGCTTCATGATGCCACAGATCTACGAAGGCCAAAAGAAATAGTTCAGCCCATGCTTGGTATGAAGGCTGCCATAGATTCACCACCAGTTCCTGTGTGCTGAACTGAATGAGGTTGTTATCTTGACTGAATCAATTTAATCACAAAAAGCGAGTCTGCATGATCCAAATATCAGCTCAAACTGGCTGAGAGTCAGAAAAATCAACTCTAACAAAATGTGGTAACCATTATGGGGTTAGTGTTGGCTCCATAACACGGCCAGGGGCCCAGAGGGTTTTAGATTCAGATGTTTACTTGCCGTTTTGTGCCATACAGTATATTCTTAAGTCAGCCAAAGCAGATATACAGAGCAGGTATCTGATCGTAACATGCCTTTTTATCATCCAACCGCATCCATCACCTTTTTTTTTTTTTTACCACCTTTCTTTTACAGTTTCTTCTTAAAATGTGTAGAATCTGTTCCATTTGGATGAAATCAGACACCTTGTGACTTTTGGCCCCGTAGGGCCGCTGTTCAGCAGCCGTAAATTAATCACTTGGGTCTTGAATGATGTGTGTGTTTGTGCTCCTGTTTTGGCATCAGAGTGGGGACGGGTTTTCCCTTTTCACCATCAGAGTGAGGACTGTTTGTACCACAGAAGGAATTTTGCTGGTCCTTGTTTCCTTTTCTGCTAATGATGACGTTTAGGACTAAGGTGTGAGTTTAACTTAGGGTCAGGTTTGCATTGTTAATGGTTAGGTTTGAAGTTAGGACATAGAAAGGGTTGAAAAGTGACTGAATGTCAGCAACTGTCAACACGTGGTCCTCACTACATATAGCAAGATGAAAATGTGTGTGTCATGGTTGCTGGTTTGGGGGATCTGGGGGGTTTAAAGCAGATAACTCATGATGGGTTAGTTACAGGCCTGATCCAGGAAAGGTTTATGCTGCCCCCTGCTGGAACTGCAGGTTAGTCTCCTGCTGTTACAGCTTGAGGATGTAAGTACATCTGATAACTTAAATGTTTTGCCTGAAGAATAAAATTCAACTTCTGGCATTTAAGGTATACCAAAAACCCATCCAATTTTTTTTTACATAGTTTATTTCAGAGTTTTGATGTAAGTCAACTGGAACTCGCCTGTAGTTATTTTAAGACATTTCGCCTCTCATCTATAAGGTCTTTTCAACTCTGGAATTGGCTGGAAGGAGAACCTTATTAACAAGGTTAACAGGGCCTTTTAAGGTATCTAATTAGACGTTTAGGGTCACTAATAGGACAATGTGGAGAGTGTATTCGGGGCTTTGTCACCAAACGCTTCAAATGTGTCTCTTAGGATGCTGTGTGAGTTGTTTTTAGTCTGTAGTCCCAAGGTATAAACTGCTGAAAACGCACCTAGGGAGACGATTCAGGGCTGCAGTTGTCAGAGAGATGAAACCAGAGGCCGGCTTCTCTGTTTAGTGGTTTGTTTGCCTTAACATAGATGCCCTCTTTTACTCCTCTCTCACACAACCTGCTCTTTCGGCCAAAATAAGGATATTGCTGTCGTCAAACAGAATACAAAAATGAAACGCTGATTCTCTGTGTACTGTAGTAGTGTCCAGACATTTTACCAAAAAAAAAAATAAAAATTGCAAATATGCAAAACTGATCTTAGTTTTCAAACAATGAAGTTGGGTTGAGTTTTTTCTAAGGAAATCAAGCAGTTTGCATTGACTTACAGAATTCACAACTCCTGGATGAGCAGGTAGCAACAGTTGACAACTGCCTTACCCTGTGTTGTTGACTTTGCTGCAGTCCTTCGTACCAATCATGCACGTAGCAACAATGGAAAGGAAAACTCCCCTTTAACTGTAAGAAACCTGCAGCAGGCCCCGGCGCAGTGTCAGCAGCATTCTGCCATATTCTGAGGCTTCGTCTTCTGATTAAGCTGGTTCACTTTGTGGTTTTAAACCTTGCAACACTGCTTATACCATAAGAACTTTTTCACATTTTATCAAGTTACAGCTATTTACCCCTCAGGGTTTCATTGGAATTATATAGAAAACACAAAGTAGAACAGATAATGAATGAAAAAAAAAAATTATGAAGGTTTGCACCAAACAATTTACAAGATATGGTGCAGATTTGTTTCCTGCCTGTCAGTGTAAAAAATTTGATTGTTTAGTATCTTTAAGGGTTGGGTCAGAACTTTTTAGAGCTGGGTCTTCAGGACATGATCTGTTTTACAAGTGTTTTCCTAAATTAAAGGGGAAAAAGGTATGTAAATAAAGATGCACTGCTGTGAAAAAGGGCTATATGAGATGAAAACATAGGTTTCACAGTTTTTCTGTTCATATTCTTGTTGTTATTAATATTGAATCGCCTCTACGATTTTTAACTGAAATCATTGAGGTTCATTTTTTTTATTTTCCATTTACACTGCCCCTCTATGTCATGTGGTTTTAGAGAATCTGACCATACATTGCGAGCTGGATCTAGGTTTTTACTTTGACTAGGCCACCCCTAAAGAATGCTCTGATCTAAACTATACCCGTCAGAGTGATTTATTAAGAAGTGACTTCTGAAGGTTTCGGGATATCTTAGTAACAGGCGCAGTTTAAAAAGAAAAGTCCGTTTTTTTTTAGCTTTTAATTTGAATTAAATGTTTAAAAATATTGGATCATATTCCTTCAACTGCTACTTTGTGTTTCTCCATCACATCCTTCAAAAATACTGTAAAAAATGCACTAGATGAAACATGTTCAGTTGATGGTCTTTGTCTGTTGTTCAGGTCTGGCATCTGGATTTGTCACCCTGCCTCGCCTGTCCCGTTCGGAGCGCCAGCAGCCATCCATCTCCTCTCCCACTTCCTGCTCCCTCAACATTCACCGTGGCTCCCTGACAGATCCATCCGATGCCATCTTGTCCACCAGCACTCCCTCTGTTGTGACCTCCGAACCCAATCAGACGACCCACACCGCATACTCCGACTCCCTCAGCTCCCTGGACACCTTTACCTTTGACCTTGGCCCATCCCTCCTGAGCGAGGTGTTCAGCCTGATCGACGGCGGCTCAGATGAGCACGTTCCCACGTGGGAGGAGGAGTCGGCACGTGGGCCTGCCAGCGATGGGTCGGAAATGGGTTCAGCTACTATTTCCTATGTGGATTCCTTACTGAGGGAGGACTGCGGTGGCAGGAAGAGTCCACATGAGCATGAAGAGGAAAGCGTGGTGAGGGGATTCTCTGGGAAAGTTCCAGATGTGTTGTTGGGTTCTCCTGAGCGAGTGGGGATAAGGATGGAGAGCGAGCGGTTTCAGAGTGCTACCGACGTGCTAGCACGCCACTACGGCGTCAGCCTCCTAAAAGGACAGAACAAGATGGAGGCTGGAGAATCAGAGATCCAGAGTCCAGACAAAAAGAAAATATCCTACAGTTTCATGGACGATGAGGATGAAATCAAAGTCTGACAGGGGGGAAAAAATCCTTTAATTGGGTAAATCATTCCCTTTTAAAACCAATCCAGTTTATAAATATTGGCACAAACCGGTTTTGCAAACAGAAACACAGATCCAGTGTTCTTAAAGTTCAGTTCTCCATTTCTAATGAAACCCTTCCCCAAGTATGGCTGAATGGAAAACAGAAACCCTGCAAGAATTCAAGGATTTTAAAACAGAAAGAAAGAGGAGACGTAGAAAATCAGAGGTGTGCCAAAGAAAGTAGCCTAGATCACCTTCGGGGGGAGGGGAGGAGGGTCTGAAAGTGGAAGTTAAAAAGCCTTCCATTCGCTTGGTTCCCCTCACACTTCCTCTTCTGCTAAAGAAACATCATCTGAGTAAGACTACATGATGATAGCCCAGAGGGGAAGTCTGAAAAGGAGATTTTAACCGTACTGCAACCCAATAAACTGTTGCCGACTTTTTACTCAGGAATAAAACCGGAGCAGAAAAAAGGGAACAGAAGTAATTAGCAATAAATTTTTATTTTAAATTGTGCAGGAATCTCCTGAACCAGATCTGAACGATTACACTACAGGGGCTTAGGAAATAGGAACTCCAGTCACATTGCACATTGTGTTGTATCTGTTTTTTTATGTGAAAAACACAAAGAGACGCATAATTGACTCTTAAAAGCAAGTGATGGGGCTCAGTTTTATTTAGGAATGCCAGATGAGATGGGTTGGGATGTGAATGCATGCCTCACTTTTAAAAATTTACTTTTTTCAGGCTGGAAAATCATTCAGTTTCCTTCCCTACCATAATTATGCAGAAACCTCTGCAGTTTAGTCACATGGACACCAAATAAAACATAGTTTGAGGTCATGAATGTGTCTGCAAGGCACTGAGGAGACTGAAGCATGTTTCTTTAACGCTGAAAATGTTAAAATATATATATAAATATATAAAAACCATGTGCACCTTCTTTTATTTTTATTAAGAAGTCCTGTATTGCCTTTTGCAGATGTTTTCTTTTGTTCTTTATCATACCTGTACATGAAGATATTACCTGATCTTTGATTATGTACTTTACAGTATGAGCACCTGCAGTGCACAGTGCAGTTTTTGCCCGTACCCAGAAACAGTTATAAAAATGTTTATATGAATGGACAATAAAGACATTTTTTAATTAGATTTGCATTCATTTACATTATTTTAGACATATAAAGCTGGATGGTTGCAATTGCTACCTTTTACATCAGCATCTTTGTTTTTGACAACAACAAGAAAGCAGTTCAGTGCATCCATAGTGACTCTGACCATTAGGAAATAAAAAATAAGAAGAAATGAATAAATAAATGACTTGTTACAACAAAAGAGGGATACAATTTAAAAAAATTAAGTAAGCTACCAAAAATGTACTTAAAATTGCAATTTTACGAAAAAGTGGGAGTGTCCACAGCATGTGCAGCAAAGGTGAAGAAGAAGATAAGACTGCGCCGCTCACTGAGCCACAGAGGGAAGCTGTTTTGGCTGTGAGGGTGGAGGAAGTGGGGGAGGACAGTTCGGAGCTCTGACCCCGGGCTTTTTCGGTGGAGGCTTTTTGGCGGTAGTAGGCAGAGCACGTGGTGCAGGCATTGGCTCAGGCATCGGCGTGGTGTCTGCTGCAGCTGTGGTTGGAGGGGGAGGGGCTTGAGCCCTAGAAGCTGCTGGGGGTTTTACTTTGGAGAACTGGACCGCCACCTGCTCATTGGGGTGTGTGGATTTGATTGGGTTGAAAGTTCTCTTTGCTGTTTAAGAACAATAGAAAAATAAAACAAAAATTAGCTCCCAGAAGTTCTGTTGTACTCTTGTGCAAATAAATTGCAAAAAGTAATTAAAGAAGAGGTAAATAAACTCAAAAGCTGGAACATGAGAAGTGTCAACAACTAAAAAATAATTTCATTAAACTCGAAACATTCAAATGAACCGGTTTGGATGTAATTCTAGTTTCAGTCAAACCTCAATTGTGTGACACGGGGGCGGAAGGGTGATGATTGGGGCTCGTTTTACAGCCACAGGATCGAGTTGGTTTTAAGTGGGACAGGAAAGTGATACCACGCATAGCGACACATCTACCAGTACACATTAAGAGTGAAGAAAAAAACTATTCCATCTGATATTATTACCATTTCAAAAGCTCAGGATACATTTTCATCTACAATTTAATTTAAATAGAAAAGCAGCCTATTAAAGACATTTAGAATTAATCATACTTGCATAATTAATTGCATCTATGTGTACAATATGTTTAAGGGATACAGAACCACAGAAGCATCAGCTCAATTTTAATAAATAATGTCTTTCTTAACCATAAATTAGGATTTTTAGGGAGATTTTAGAGCGAAATCTGTTTACAAAAAATGTTTCTCTCTAGTCAACGTGACACATGGACCTTGATCTGCTGTCATTTCGGTCACTGATGTAACAGACTTCCTGTTTCCTGTCTACATCCTGGTTGTTTGAACAAGATCAGTTTATTTATTTTTTCCTTCTCTTGCCGCTACCTCGATTTTATTAGACTGGTAAGTAATAGAAACTAGTAACCAAGAAGATGGGTCAGAGGTAAGTTTCTGTTTGTAAGGAAAATAAAACTAACTGGCCCTTTATGTGAACATGAACTATTTGTCTGCTGGTTAAAAAAAGCATATATGAAGACGTTTCAATCAGTAGGTCTTTAAATAAATGCTGCATTTTAATCAGGCCAGTCGGACCTCTCAGAACCACCTTCACTTACGTTTATAAGGTGATCCTATCGTCAAAACCACCTTAGGGGAGTCAGGGGGTGCCTCCAGAATTGGCTCCAGTTGGACCTGATCCAAGCTCTGCCTTTGGGTGGGGTTCCTTATCTGGGCAGCTGGGTTTGGTGCCGGCACTGTCGCTCTGGGAGGAGGGGATGGAATCTGGCTAAACATGGAGCTGGAGCCAGAGGAAGAAGTGGGAGCTGGAACTGTGCTGGACTCGGATGTGGACGAACTGCTGGAGGCTGTGTTCTGATTGGCTGCCGTCTCAGAAGCAGGGCCTCCCCATGAGGTGACGCCGCTGCGGCTGCTCACAGAACCAGATTTAGGCCTGAAGAAGCCACCAGAGTCCTGAAAGGGTGTGCTGATGGAAGAAAAACACTCAGGGTTGGAAACTCGTCATGGTGGGAATCTCTCAGTTGACTGTCATATAGATATATTATATATAGATCAGTAGATAAATAAATATAGAGAGATATTATCTAAGATGCAAATAATCATAATAATGAATACAGTCTCATATTTATGCACTGCTAGTCTTCAACAGGCTCTGGGCATCACTCTGGGTGGAGTTTCTCATTTTATCTGGTTGGTTCCTGTTACTAACGCATCTTTTTAAGCACAATACATGCATTTTATCACAGAGCGGAGCTCAGTTCACCTCCAGAAGTTCATTGTTAGCTGGTTTTATGTTTTGGACCTATTCTGATAAGCTGAGCCAATGTGAATGTGGAGGTAGCCTTCTTTCCACATTGTCTTATCCACAATGAGACAGTTCTCCATGCAGACATATGACCCCACAGCATCATACCACCACTACCATGTCAAAAAGCTGTTATAACTTCCTTAACCCCACCTCTGATCATTGTCTCCCCTCTTAGTCCTACTGGTGTCTCTCAGGTCATGTCAGGGTTGACCTTTCAAACCCATCCTGTTGATAGTTTGGATCAGACAGTTGAAACTTGAACACAGTCAGATTTTTCAACTGGACACAGATCCCTAAATTGCTTTATAAGCAGGCAAACCAGACTAATACAGAACTTAGTGGCCCAGTATACACATGAATTAATGTGTATTTAATAATAATAATAAGCCTATTGGTGAATTAAAGACAATCCACGGTGCCTGTAACCAGTACCTGTTTGTTTTGGAGAGCGGTAGGTGATGGGAGGAGCAGGAGGATGTTGATGAAGAGGAAGACGCTGTTCTTATCAGTAAATCCTTCTCAGGGAAGAACGACTGGGCAGCAGGAGCTGGTACATCTGGGACTTCAGGTAACTCAGGGATCTCAAAGCAAACAGCTGATAACAAAAGGAGGATATAATACAACCAGATAATTAGATTTTAGATCTTTTACAGTATCACAAACTCATCTGAGTTTCTTATTTTCAACAGCAATCAGTCGCACAACCTTCATGCATGCTGAAGGAAATCTATACGGCATCTAAATCTGTGGTTTAACTTTGACCCGCCGATTTAGCTGTGGTTTGAGTTTGTAGGGCAACCGTTGCAGTGCCTTACAGAGAGGGTGCAGCAGCAACAATAGAAGCATGAACTGTTCAAAATGTCTTTCCTTCCAATCAAACACAAAATTTTGCTGCAAAAAAAAAAAAGATTTCCTCTACAGTCCTTAAAATAAATGTGTAGAAATGAAACTACAGGAAGTATTCAGTAAATATTTAAACCAGCAGATTAAAAATCTTAAATGTACATGTTGTTGCTCACTGAGTTTTCTTGAATATAATTCTGGCTTAAATACATTTAAAAATGAACTGAGAAATAAAGGTGGTAATAAGGAAATAACTGAGCTTAAGAATAGTACCTAATTTGTCACTTTGCAAAGTCAGTGGCAAAGGTTTCTGTTTTATCTATTCTGATATCATGTCTGTTCAATCTAAACACTTAAAGCACATCTTGTTTCAATCCTTCAGTTTTATCTGCTGTTACCTTCTGGAAAGAGACTGGAGCTGTACTGAATTAGAGGCTCAATGACTGTCACCACCTGGACTGAAGAGGCTGAAGCCATGTCAAACAGAGCAGCTTCCCTGATGATGAAAGCAGATCAACAAGAGTTTATAACGCATAATAATGAAGATTTAAGGCAGAAAACATAAGAATCTTGAACATATGGCACATAAACAACATTTCCTGAGTTTAACTGTCTGAAATGATGAAAAAAAAAATTGAATTCTTCATTATAGTCCAACTTTTTTAGGTGTATTTTTTAATTTAAAACACACTTTTCTGATATAAAAGAGACTTTTAAAACACATCTTAAAAACTGGAAATGCTCTTCTGTATATGGATAATAACATAGCCCATCTAATAGGACATTAACAAGATTTTTTTTCTTCTTTGAAACAAAAAAGGAATGAAGGAAATATGCAGTCTATAAATGGCGACAGAAAAATGATGAAGTGTGCACATTGCTGTAAAAATAATTTATTCAGGAAATATTATTTAGCTCTATGGTAAACGACTGATGAAATTCGTCTTGCCAACGAGCCATTTTTCAGTTAAAATGATTAAGCTAAATGTAAGGGGACAAGTTATAATGGACTGTGAGGACATCTGAGACACCTTGAACACTTTGTTTTTGTAATTACAAGAAATATATTGCTCAGTTTTTATCTTGAACGGTCTAATTATAAGTTTATAGGTGTAGTACCGTCGCAGAAGGGGACATTTGATCAGCTCAGGCACAAAGGGTAGCCTAGCATCCTAAGTATTGGTGGTGTTAGGCTGCAGGGGGACACATGGCAAGGCAAGGCAAATTTATTTGCATAGCACAATTCAGTATAAAGACAATGCAAAGTGCTTTACATGATTAAAATATAGGAAAATAAAATAGAATCAAAGCAAAAAATGCAGAAACAAAAAAGAACATTAAAAACAGTTGGACTAAAGAAAATTTAAAAGTTGAACTAATGATGTTTCATTTGAACTGTTTAACTGGAACAGTCGAAGGCAATCCTAAACAAATGTGTTTTTAGTCTTGATTTAAAGGAACTCAGGCTTTCCGCACTTTTACAGTTTTCTGGAAGTTTGTTCCAGATAAGTGGAGCATAGGAACTAAATGCTGCTTCTCCATGTTTAGTTCTGGTTCTAGGTATGCAGAGCAGGCTGGAGCCAGAAGACCTGAGTGGTCTGAAGGGTTGATACACTGATAGCAAGTTTGTGACGTATTTAGGCGCTAAGCTATTCAGAGATTTATAGAATAACATAAGTATTTTAAAGTCCATTCTCTGAGATACAGGGAGTCAGTGTTGAACTAGGGTGATGTCTTCTGGGGTGTGACATTCAATAATGAACCAATCTCTCCAAATAATCTTTCTGCATGCTTAACAATTTAAGTCCGCCTCAGAGGCAGCTGATTTCTTTCTCTGTGTCTGAGCTAAATTAGTTATAATGTTTGGTAGCGCCTGCAGCCTCAGTTTATGTCGGCTTTTTCCTAATTTCCCTGAAATGCTAAAACATTTCTGTTTTAACTGGTGGGCATCCTTTGAGCATGAAATAAACTGACGGAGGAGGTCATCACAGAAACCTTAGCTCATTACGCACCCTTCAGCCCGCGGCCATAGCAGGTTTGGCCCCAAGACGATGGCGATGTTACTGGGCGTCATCTTATTTATGGCCTGTTGCTCAGACAACAGGGAAAGGAACTGAACCAGGTACCTGGACAATAAGAAGGGATGGTTGAATAGAAGGAAACACAGGAATCTTCGTAGGGTGAAGAGATGCTCTGCTTGGCAATGAGCTTTAAAATGAGATGAACTATAATCCTTATTGTATTAAGCTGTACAACTGAATCATATTAACTCAATGTTTTGCACTGTTTTTCATTATATTCTTTTAAATAGTGGGTTTGCTGTCATTTAATTTGGCAAACTTAATATGCTTTAAACTGATATTTTGCTCAAAATAAATTGATATAGACAGTTTTTGTCTTTTTTAACAATAACCCAGGAGATGACCTGAGTGAACCACAAAGTAACATGAATTCAGGACAGTTAGCGTCCTTAGTTTGGATTCTGGGATTCTAGGTGCAGCTGCTGTTGAACCAAAAACAAAGATCTAACTAAAATGTTCACATGCTGATTTTTTAAGGTATATTTACAGTTACAACACTATTACTGGTAGAGTTGTTTTCACTATAAAAAACAAAAATGTAATTACCTGAGATCAGATGGTGAAAACTCAGCTAAGCTAGGTGTTTCCAATGTAACCCATGAAATGAGTTGCAGTTATGGGCATGGTGAGCACACACCTTAGATTGTTGTAGTTTTCAGGCGGTAGTTTCTGCAGCAGCTCCCTGAACTTCTCCAGTTTCACTGTCGGGTCTTTTTCTCTGTGAAGGTCGGAAGCAGATAAAGAAACTGAAGGCAGTACATAAACTCAGTATTGAAGGTTTTGATTTTAGTGATGTCAAATTTAATAACTATTTTTTGTTTGTTTGTTTTTAGAAATTTCCCATCTAACTTCCATCTTCTAGTGCTTTATAAAGGAAATAAATCATTAACGACGTCAATAAAGAACAAGTTAAAAAGTTAGATCAAAATACTAACCTTGTTACTTAACTTTTACAATCTCCATTTAAATTATAAATTAAATGCATATGACTAAATAATTTTTGAGGCACCAATTTAAAATAGATGAGCATAACTGTTTGCTTTTGTTTGTGCAAGAAGGTAACTGAGGATCTGGATTATCTGATTTAAAAAAAAATCTGATATAGTATATACCGACCAGTATTTATTCATTTAGAGAATATAACTATGATAAATTTAAAGTTTAGTTGTTTATTTTTCTATCTGTGAGAAACTTAGTGACATTGGTATCAATAATGTTTTTCTATCGGTCAAATATTATAGACATAATTGTTGAATCTTTAAAAAAAACCTACATTTCATTAATTTGAAGAAGGATTTCATTTTGTTTCATAAGCTTTGTGCTTTGTTAAATCTAAAAATGCATACAGGCTGACCTCTTCTATAAATAACACAAACCCCATTAAGTGTTTTGCTCTTTTTTCCTGTAGTGTTGGTATTCTTTTTACTGTTTTGTTAGTTTTTTTAAAATAAATTTTTGTGTGTTTTGTCTCTTATTTGTACGTTCATTACACATAATGTACAAATCCTTGTACCTTTTTTTGTTTTTAACACGTTTTCTTGATACTAATAAACAGAAAAAGATGCAGCTATAATTGAATACACACCCTGCAGCTGTAAACCAATCATTGTACAGTTCAAAGGTCATCAGGGGTTCAGGAAGCTCTCGAAGGTAACACTTCAATGCACCTGTCAATGAAATCAAAGAACAGCTTCAATAAAAAACATTTGTTTTTATTCAGTGCAAATATATGAATATTTTTTTCAAGAGCATTGATATAGACAGATTTTGTTTTCTACAGTATATCGTCTGTCAAAGCATAATGTAAATAACAAAGGAACTGCATTTGGACTAAATGGAAGATGATATGGTCAGTGAATAACAGGATGGTCAAACTGATGAGGAAGACTGGGCTCTGGGAGAAACACCCTAACCTGCGACGGCGTGAGGGTCCATGCTGAACTCGCTGTGGTCCACAGTCCCTTGGTTCAGGCAGGTCTTCAGCCTCTTCACCACCGAGGCAGCTGCTGCAAGCCGAAACAGACCCTACGCAGAGATGGAGGCGAAGCATAACTTCATCTTATCCATGGAAAAAACAAAAACTTCAATCTCACAGCATATTAATGTGACAGACAATTATTTATTTTGCTTTTAGCCATTATTTAGCTCTCAAAAAATGTTTTATAGCTCAAAATCTGAAAGGTGTGGCATTCATTTATATGTTAACACCCTGAACTATTACTTTGTTAATCCTCCAGTCACTGCAGGCAGCCCATTGCTGCCTTACAAATATTTAATTACCTTCCTTAAGTAGAAATTTAAGCTATCTATACTCTACTGAAGTAATTAGACAACTTTTAACATCTACTCCTTAAATTTTAAAAGTAGACTCATTAGTCTTGTTTCATTTAAGATAATTAGAAAAAAATAATAATCTCCTCATAATAATTTGTTTCGTCGGTGCTGCAAAAACTTCTTGTTTGCCACAAACCAAAATAAATCGCCTTTCAAGATGATACAAAGTTAGATATCAACAGTGATGTCATAAGTACACACATTTGTTACTTAAGTAGAAGTATAGTTGCTGCAGTTTGAAAACACTCTGGTAAAAGTTGAAGTATCAACTTGACCTCTTTACTCAAGTAAAAGTGAAAAAGTATGTGCTCCAAAAACTACTTAAAGTATCAAAGTATAAAGTAACCTTACAAAAAAAAAAAAAACAGCCAGATGCCTCTATATGAATTTTAAAGCTCAATTTTCCGACTTTTTCGAAAAATCCTTTAAGATAGGGCCCAGGATGAGGGAGGTCTTGTTGGTCTCTGTACTTGTATGAAAATGTAATGAGTAGAAGTCAGAAGTAGGAAGAAAAATTAGTAATGGAGTAAAGTATAGCTACCTAAAAAGTGTACTTAAGTACAGTAACAAAGTATTTGTACACCTCTGGATATGACACTGTTGCAATTAGTTATAAAATGAATAAGATTAAATATAAGGAAGTTATCATCTAGAATTGTAGAAAATATTTCCTTTAATAGTTTAATTGTTTCCTGCATTACTTTTACTTTTATACTTTAACTAGTTTTAAAAAATGTACTTTGACACTTTTACTTCAATAAAAAGCTTAAGTTGATACGCCAGCTTCTACAACTAAAAGTGTTTTTAAACTGTAGGATTTATACTGCTACTTGAGTAATAAACTTTAATACTTTTGACACCTCTGGTTAAGTAGCACCAGTTTGCAACAAATTCTTATTGAGACGTAGGGTTGGACTTTAACTAGGCCATTTTAACAAAAATAATGCTAATAATAATGTCTAGATTTAAGAATCAGGGTCCTGCAACTTTCAGGATACGTCTCTGGTTGCAAACTGGAGATTGAGTCTCTAACGTGGTCAAACCTCTTCCAATATTTAGATGATGGTGTGATTGGAATATAGTTTTAGAAATTACCCAGAGGTGGACAGAGGAACCAAAAATTTTACTCAAGTGAGAGTGACCAAACCTCATCATATTTTTACTAAAGTAAAAGGAAAATTAGCCATCCAAGAAATTACTAATGTACGAGTAGGAACATATTTGATAAGAACTGCGACTCAAGTAATGAGTAACTCATAATAAGATCTGATAATTTAAATAAAATAATTGAAAAATTAGTAAAACTTATGAAACCAGTACCTCCAGACACAATATTTACTCCTTCCTGTATAGTAGCTTAAGCTCCAGATGTCAGGGTAAACTTAAATGAAACAAAAGTTCACTCATTTTTGACATAAACATTAATTTTGTCTTTAGCACCTTTTTAAAAAAAACAAGCTTGTTTCTTACTCCGTAAGGTTTCTCACGATGGATGGAGTAGACAAACAGTTTACTCAAGTAAGAGCACCTAATTGCATAAAGTTACTCAAGTGACTGTAACCAAGTAAATGTAGATATTTAATATTTAACTCTAAGACTAACTCTACTTTAAACGTCTCCAAAATTCTCCCTGACCTGTTTGCTCTGTTATCTGTTGTCTTCCTGATGCTGATTGTCCCTAACGTTCTCTAACGAACCTCTAAGGCCAGAACAAGAACAGCCGCAGTTAGACTCAGACTAAATTAAACACAGGTTAGCTCTGTTTACGCATAAGGGTAAAAGGAAATCAACCGTAATGTATTTCACGCAAGCCTATCAGAGTAAAAAGGTGTTTCATGCAATGGATGCTGTGCAATGTCTAAAAAAAAAAACAATGTGCCAGCTTGTTTTGGCCAATATCATGAAATCTCCTAAGGTTCTGTATATGGTGCGGTTCATCCACCTCCTCTCTCATGCCCGTTCTCAGCAACATATGAATACACTCCTGGATGGGTGCTGCAATCTCCCTGCTGCTCTGGGTCAGATGCGCTTCCAGCGGCTCCCCGTAGACCTTCTGGTTAGAAAGGCTCAGTGCTTGATCTGCAGACGCCAAGCATGGAATCAGAGTTGCATCTTTGCAGTACACAGATGGAGATTAGATCAAGGGAAATTCACCTTTTTGAGTGTGGTTCTCTTTGAGCTCGTTGATGTTTTTGTCCAGGAACTCGTGGGAATTCTTGTGATACTCCGCTTGCAGTTCGAGAAGCTGAAGTCAACCAGAGGAAAAATATGTTGAGTCCTTCACTGCATAATGACTCTGTGTGGGAGCATCATTACCAAACCACAACTCACACGGATGAAGTAGTTAGCATAGTCATCTTCTTTAGTTGCAAAATGGTAGAGGTCTGCAGAGTACTGGTCCTACAGAGGCAGGAGACACGCAGGGTGAGAGGTTAGGATGCAGATTCCTCAAAGTGGTTATTAACCCTGTAAAAGCTCAGTTAACACTTCAACCTTGATACTCTCCAACTTCCTCCATGCCTCTTCTACTTCCTCCCTGAGTCCGTCCTGCTTAGCCTGGGGCCCGTTGCTGGCTTGACTTCTGTAAAAAACAGCAAAGCTGTAGATCCTAATGGATGCCGTTCCATCGCCACATTTTTAGAGGCTGTTTGGCTCACCTGAGTCGTGCATTGTTCCAGTCTGTAGTGAGCTTTGCAAACTGTTTTTTGTTCTTTAGGATTTCTGGTAAATCTTCCTGGAGAGACAAAGACTTCACATTAAATACCAAACCCATCTACAGCGAGCTGTCTACAGTGCACTGACAGAACATCAATACTTCTTGAACTTATCAGTACTGTATGCATTGGAAGTTTAAACCAGACCAGAAGGCTGAGGACGCTCTTTCAGACTCTAGTACCTTGTATTACAATGCTTCACTGTGGCTCTTTATGGTTTTTTCTCTGCAATCTTTGTACATTCAATTTAATTTAGTTTGTTTATATGGTGCCAATTTAGAACACATATCATCTCAAGGCACTTTAGAGAGACAATTCAACCAGATCATACAGTCATATTGATTTAAAGTTTTCTATTTAAGGAAAAACAGCTGATTGCGTCAACTCATTGACTCTTCAGCAATCCCTCATACCGAGCATGCTTGTAGCGACAGTGGAGAGGAAATACTCCCTTTTAACAGGAAGAAACCCTCCAGCAGACCAGACTCAGTGTGAGGATGTGGACACTTAAATCTGAAACTATTCTTAGTTTTCGTCTTAACACTTTACTTTGACTAGGCCGTTCTAACATGTGAGTCTGCTTAAAGCTAAACCATCCAGCATAGCTCTGACTGTATGTTTAGGATGCTGTTCATGCTGGAAGGTTAGCCTTCAACCCAGTCTCAGATCCTCCACATTTACAGGTCAGGGGGTGTCCTGGTTTTAAATTTCAGAGATTTGTCTGTCTTAAGGCTAGAACCCACCAAATCTGATTTTGCCTCCGATCCGACAGAAAATCGTGTCGGACGAGGTAGTGGCTTAAAGGGGATCAGTATTTTATCCAATTTCTGTCCTGTGAACTCCTATCGTGGGTAAAGTATTCTATTTTTTCCATATTTCATTGGTGTTTTTGCACGAGTCTGTCCTGCTGTATGTGATGTGCAACCCCAAAACTGACTCTTTTCCTGTGCGATGAACAGATTTTATTTGCATTTTCTCCCAAAGCAGATGTGTTTTAGTTTGTAACTGCATCTCTCTGAATGCCAAATGCCACAATCTCATTTGACGCGATTTTCTGTCGGATCGGACGCAAAATCTGATTTGGTATATTCTGGCCTTTACACTGGATTTTAATTAGAGATAACAAAGTGAAAGGGATTGAATTTGGAAAATCTTAAATACTAAATTATAACAGTGTATACATTTCAGGCCATTCTACTTTAGTGAGGTTTGTGGTTGTGATAAGAGACATTTCTTATTTTTTTTGTTAGATTTTTTAACTTTTTATTCAAGTTTCTTTATTATTACACTGCAGCAAGGTACAGTGCTCATAAGAATAGGAGTCAACAATCCTCAGCTAATACATCCTGTGTGTTTCTAATCAATCACATACAAAGCCATGGTCAAATAAAGAAAATAACTGATAAAATTGCGTAACCTAATGAAAAATGTAATGACTTGTCATAACTAATTATAGAGACATTATCTTCTATCTTTTTTAACCAACTTGTCTGATCTATCAGACAAGTTGTGACTCAGCTCATGCCAATATCTCCTGGACGTTAATATACAACAGAAAAAGAGAAGAACAGATATCAAACATCTGAATTTATATAACAGGTATTAGTTACATGTCTGTTTACCAAGCTGAGTTTTCATCACCTCGCTAAGCTTATTGAGTGGCTCCAGAACTTCCTTCTCCACAGTCATCTCAAAGTCTGCCAGCATGCTGGCCAGCATCTTCTCCATGAAGCAGCACATCTCCAGGACTCTCCTGAAACAAGCAGGTGGTTTTTAAAACTACAGAAACACAATGGATGTTTGACATTTCAGTGTTTTCCTGGGCTTGATAAACCGACATGTGTAATTTATTAGATAAACAAATTAATCTGTTTTTCAGGATCCTTCTGAGAAATTAGTCCTTTAATCCTGGAGATGTTCTTTTGGTGATAGAGGGCCATGAAAGAAGGTTCTGGTCTGAGTCTATCACTGCACTCAGATTTGTAGCTATATTGGTGGTTTCTAGTCATAATAACTGAAGTTGTATGCTTACTTCAGTGGTGGATGAAGTACTAAACAGCAGGACTTGAGTAAAAGTATTGATAATTCAAATCTTACTCAACTACAAGTAAAAGTTACTCAGTCAAACATCTACTCAAGTTAAAGTATTAAAGTACTCATTTTTGAAAATATTTAACTATTCAAAACTACATGCAATTAAAAGTATTTAAGTATTCAAAAATAGAAATTCAATTTTTTAAATATCAGTGCATCAGAGTAATTTTAAAGAACCTTGTAACTTTCAGAAACTACCTGATGCATTGATGTATAAAACCACCTGCTACCAATACTAGACCACATGCCACAAAAAATAAGGACAGCTATTTTGATCATTTTTTCTCATTTAAAAACAAGCCAAAAAGAAAACAGGTGAGTCTTGATTCTCCTCACAATTTCAATGTGGAATAAAGGTTTATGGTTGAATCTGTTAACAGAAAGGAGCTACAACTGCTGAATGATTTGAGAACTCCTGCTACTGAATAACTTGGCCGGATGGAAACAACTAATGCCTTAATAAATGATAAACTACAAATAATATCTGCAAATAATGGCTGCTATCTGCTATTTTGAAATTGGATTTCCAAAAAAAAAAAAAAAAAAAAAAAAAAACAGCAGCAGTGAATCACAAAGCTAAGCTGAGCCAAGAGGAACAAGCAACTAGCAGCTTCCTGGAAATGTAGTGGAGTAGAAAGTACAAAATTCAACGTAGTGGAGTGAAAGTTATTAGTACCCCCCCTAAAAATTACTCAAGTAAAGTAAAGATATTTAAGTATAGTAATCAAGTATTGTACTTTTTTACATTCCACCACTTTCTAACTTTATGCATTTATGCCCGAATGAATGTCACCTGGTGTCTTTAGCTACGGTAACTTCTTTTGTGTGTTATAATCTGACCTAATAGGGCAGGGGTCCCCAAACTTTTTCCTGTGAGGGCCACATAACTTTTCCCTTCTCTGACGGGGGGCCGGGGTCAGTTTGTAACAGAAAAATTGTGACGATTGCAAGAGTGCCTAAATTTATGACGGCATTTATGTCTTTATGACGGGAGTCATAGTGTCTCCGCAGTTTATATTCTTTGAATACCGCCACTGCCTCTTGACAGATGAAACAGACAGCCTTTTCTTTACATTGAACAAAAAAAAAATATCCTTTGTCCAATTCAGGTTAAATGCCCTGCTTCTGAATCAATTTTTCTCTTACCTTTTCTTTTCCTCAGAATTCTGAGAAAAAAGTCAGAATTGAATAGACTATTATTTTATTTGTTTGAATGGCCCTAATCCTCTTCCGTATCTCTTTGAGAGGGGCAGGTTTAAGATTTTAAGCGGGGGGTTGCCAGATAGGGGCACAGACCCCAAAAGGGTGAAACATTGTCGCGTTATATGTGTGAAATAGTTACTAATAGTTAATAATAAAAAAAACTTCATAATTAAGGAACATTTTATTGCAAATGTCCAACTGTAATATCAAATACAAAACAAACAAACAAAAAAAACATTATATGAAAATACTCTCTGGTATTGTTCAGGGGGCCGGACCAAGTGTGGAGGTGGGCCGGATCCGGCCCACGGGCCGTAGTTTGGGGATCACTGTAATAGGGGATTCAGACATTAAATAGCAGGATCCCCAATGTAGAGGCGTAAGTGGATGAGCGCCAGAACCTCAGGGTCAATCTACACTGTTCCAACAGGAACAGCTTTGCTAACAAATAGACGCATATATTTAAACATTCATGTTGTCTACATACAAGGTATAGAGGACTACATTTCTGGGGCGAACATATTTCTATTGTCATTACTTACCTACTTGTATCAAAAATTGTTCTGCATAAAATTTATATTTACATGTCCTAATATCTACATTAAATGGATTTTTAAGTTATTATTAAAGTAGTTATTTATCTATGATTTCACTGAAGACACCTAGATGACTTGCAGAGACACATAATTTTCTTTACCCAATATAACACAAAATTTAGTTCTTAAAAGAGCATGAATTCTGTCTATAACAACTTTAATGTTAATATATTGATGTGAATAATTAACCACATCATTTTAGTTATCAAGTAATTTTTAATGTATGAAAGAATTTATACATTAAAAATTAAAATGTTTAATAAGTTTGAACATTCCCCTTGAGAGTAATACTGCTGCCAACTTCTCCATTAGAGGGCGTAAAAAATGGTAGGGGTGACCACAGATTGGCTAAGGGCGGCCATGGCCACCTCTGGCTCCCCATCTAGCTCCGCCCCTGCCCCAATGAGGAACCTTGTGGAACATTATCTGTGATACTTGTCAACACTGATGTAAGTTATCTGCTGACATGAAGAAGTCCCTTTCCTCCATGTAAGACTCAGACCAGTCATCGAAACATATTACATCTTAAACTCATAAATAACGCCATCGATGAGACCTTTAGTTACATACTATGACTTATTCAGGCAGAAGCTAAAACTGTACAAGATGCATCTGTATGCCTCAAGTCCAATGCTCAAACCCGTCACCTGATTGAAGACTGTGCATCAAAGTCCTTCAGGCTTTCAGCCATGCTTATAGACAGCAGCATTAATGGAAGTTTCTTCTGCAGTGACAAAAACACAAGTTTTGTTGGTTTTGTGTTTCGTTCTTACAGAAAACCATAAACCACTTTCATTCACTTTGTAAAAAATAATGACTACCATTCTTCTTTCAGCCTCCAGCCCAAGAGGACTCAGCATGCAGGCCTGCAGCTTTTTATGGAGGACCTGAGCTGCCTTCTTGGCTGGCTCCACCCGCTGCTCCACCTGCAACCAGATACACATGATGTAAGACCAAAAACAGAAGACTACTCTGTGTTTATAAAAAAAGAAAAAAAAAAAGCTTAAAGGGTAAATTTGACATTTTAGAGCCATAGAACCTGGCAGGAACATCCCACCGATAGAGAACGGCATGGGACACATTGGAGCAACAATGATGTTAAAACCCCAAAAACTAATTTAAAAATCTGAGCGATGCCTATAATTTACACAGGCCCATTTGCAGAGGTGTCAAGTAACAAAGTACAAATACTTCATTACTGTACTTAAGTACACTTTTTAGATATCTATACTTTACTCCATCACTTATTTTTCTTCCTACTTCTGACTTCTACTCAACATTTTCACACAAGTATCTGTACTTTCTATTCCTTACATTTTTTAAACAAACCTTACTCGTTACTCTTGGCTTTGGTTTAATGTTTATAAATATTTATTTTACGTCATGTGCTCCATCCAATGCAGATCATTGGCTCCATCCACATCTAGTGAAAACTAGTGTAAGTGGATGAGTCATAACACACTCATTGGTTAGCTATTCATCAAGTTTATGCTGACGCCAAAGGAAATCCTCAGAAGCATGCAGATGTTCTTCAAACTGTAAACACGAATTGTCTAGGCCATGCTACAATGTTGGATTCAGAAAAAGATATTAAAATGTCTGAAAGGTCGGACACAGGTGAGATGGAGACCAACAATACCTCCCTCATCCTTGGCCCATCTCAAAGAATTTTTAAGTAGTTTTTGGAGCACATGCTTTTTAACTTTTACTTGAGTAAAGAAGTCAAGTTGATACCAGAGTGTTTTTAAACTGCAGTATCTATACTTCTACTTAATTAACAAATGTGTGTACTTTTGACACCACTGACCATTTGTTACTGTGGTAAATTACAAACAAATTAACTCTGGAACAGAGAAATCTTAAATCTCGATGCTGTGCTGGTTTGTCAGATCTCCAAGCTCCTGCTCTAAAAATAGTTCTCCTGACTAGATAAATCCCCATATGACTATTCACACCAGTTTAAGCTGGAGACTTTGATATAACTGCTGTTGTTTAGAGCATTTATTCATTGATCCGGGCCTGATAAACTAGACTAAATGTGAGATTAAATGTGTATTTACACTTGCAGGCAAAAATTGGTATTATATTTTTGTCAGCATCCTGAGCTCTTTTCTTCTCAGTCAGCTATTATGAGTTAAAAACCTAAACAAGAGTAAAACATATAAACATATATGCTCTTAGACCAATTAATACAATTATTAATTATTAATTAAAATAAGTATAACATAACTTTAAGCAAAAATCAAAGGCATTCCAAATATGTATGTCTCACCTGAACCAGGTCCTCATGCAGAAGGTCAGTGGCATCTTGTGACCTGGCAAGGATTTCACATAAGGAAATATTGGATTTATTAACAATTATTAGCTTTAGGGTTTCAAGAAAAGTCCCCAGAAAAAGACATACTAATAAAAACAGATTAATAGCAGTTAATAAAAAGAATAGAATTTTATGACACAAATATTCAAAGATGTATCATTTTCTACAAATACAGGAAGAAATATAACCGAATCGGAAATTATTATGTGCAGTTACTTGACAGAAATTGACTAAATCTTAGTCGATCAATAAAATCTGATTGATGGTTGTTCAGCCAGCTGAACAACCATCAATCAGATTAAACAAAAAGTAGGTATATGTCAATAAAGATGCCTAGAACATGCTTTGTTTTAGTTAGAAGATCAGTAATTTGAAATGATGAAATAACGTCAAGTCATGTGCGCTGCAACGCATCGGTGCCATTTTGGTCGCATATAGAGCCACGTCAAAACTCTCATCCACGTAAAAGAAGCACAACGGTTGTGTATTGTTGGGTTCAAGCAAAGCCACAAAACAGAAAAGATAATTTTTCGTAAAATACTCGAGAATCAGAAGAGCTTTGATCACTTTGAGGACATTTTCAAACTGTTCAAAGAAGTTGACGAAGCATTAAAAAAGGTAAAGCTGCATCCATTAAATCAATGAAAAGTAGAATAGAAACATATCATCATTAAACTGAAACGCATGCATTTCCGTTACATTGTTGTAACAACTTTTAAATCATGTTCAATTCTCAGTCCTTTTAATTTTGAGACACCTAATAAGACTGTTATAAACAAATGTCAGTTACCTTTACAGGAAAGCAACCATTTTAGTTATTCAACATTTAGCATTTGTCTAGTTCTGTCCTGATTTTGGCACTGATAGCTGGCTTAAATATTCACTTCATTCACCTGTCCAACTCTGCTCGGTTTCTAATCACTGCTAATGTGATCCACCTGCTCCTGCCTCTATTTAACATGCTTGCATCCAGTTACCAGGGCCAGATTATCTTGTTCTCTCTAGCCAGTGATGAGGGTGTTTTTAGAGTTCTTTTGGTGTTTCAGATTTCCTGATCCTGTTCTGCCTCTCAACCACTGAGCCTGCCTGTTCCTGTTCTGATCTGTTTGCCGGACTTGTCTTCGGACTCCTGTTTGTTCTCTGTTCTTTGGGGCTGCAGCGTCTGGTACACTCTGGGCCTGTCAAATCTTGTTGTCAGCCCATCGGCGGGATCCTACCTCATTCTGTGGGCATGGACTGATCTTGTAAACCAGGTTAGTGACTTAAATTTATAATCATCCTGTTTCACGTTATCATGGTCAGTAACCTGTGTTTCCCTCCTGCAGAGATTTCCGCCTTTGTTTTTTTTTTCTGCTGCAGTAACTTTACAAGAGCTTCTCATCGCATCTCTTTGAACCATGCTCCCATTTCCACATCCTGTTCACCACTTTCCTCTTAGTTCTGCTGTGATGATCCAATATTTGCCATTTTGTTGAAGCTGGTGAAAGGCTGTGTTACTTTAACCCAAATCTGCCACAAAACTATCTTGATTACTTAGTAAAGACTGTTCTTTTTTTGGAGTTTAACAGGTCAGGGGTTAAACTGGATAGAATGGAGCAGTAGTGGGTGGAGAAAGGATGGTCCCTCTGTAGCACCTTTAATTTAAAGAAATTGTTCTAAATCTGTGATAAAAGTACAGTAGATGGTTTGTGATAGTTGGAGGAAACTTGACATTTCAGCTATTTACAAGGTTTCTATGAACAAATTAACTGTGCAATAGAGATCATAAGCAATGGGAGCCAAACATTGGTCTTTGAAATGAAGCTACAGTAAACATGAATTGGTTGTCGAGACATCAACATCCTATAATAACCCTCCGATGTCACAGACTAATAGTCCAGCTTGTCTGCAGCTAATGGCTTCCTTTCACTCTTCATTACTAAGACTGGAACTCCAAGTCGACTCTACAGCAAAACATCTCCTCAACATGATGCTGCCACCCCCGTACTTCACAGTTGGGATCTCTTCAGAAAGGTTCATTCACAAGTTCCACATCAGAACCCATTCATATTGGCGTCTAGTATCTGGGGATTGGACCTAACTAATGGAGGTGTACAGCCCTACTGACACCATGGATGATTTTTTTCTTTGTCTGTTTCATGATGTCAGATAAGGAGGCAAAGTTTTTGCTTAGATTCCACATAAATGCTGGGAATAAACATTTGAGAACTGATAAAAAGGTAAAAAATCTCATGTTCCCAACTGACCTATAACAGAAAGAGTAGAATTCGGCTTAATATTAAATAAGGAGGCAAAATTATTGTGTATTTTTATACATTGTATGTATAAAAAGACACAAATGTGGGATTAGCATAATTTCATTGATATAATATTCAACTTTGCAGCTTCTCTGCTCTGAATTTTATCTCTGCATCATGATGTAGTCGACAAAAGGACAGTTTTTATCATCTTTAAGACTGAACCTGAGGAGTGTATGGGCTGCTGTGAAGCTGAAGGCTAAAACAGAAGAACCCTATGTGGCCTATTCTCAGATAAGCGTCCCTCTAATAGACCCTCATAACCTGCCTCCAACCACCTCTGAAAACACGTGGAGAACCGCAGATGCTTTTTAAGTGTTGCCAGATTTGGAGCTGCACGTTAAAGGAAGCCCTGCCCAGTTCCTCAAGGGGTCAGATAAGCTTCAGCACCTCCAAGATGTGCTTTGTTTCCTCCAGCAAAGACATATAAGGATTTAAATGCAAAGCAGAGAAACAGCCAACCTATCTGAAGCAGTCTGTGTCAGCCATGCAGGTAAAGTTAAAATAAAGTTAAAATAAAAGGTTTAGGTTTGAACACAGATGTATTAACAAGTGTTGCCAGAACTTCCCTCATCAAAGGTCACAGCATCAGTGCACACTGATCACTGGGTGAGGTGCTGCTGCAGCAGAGGAGGCAATGTTTGCTGTGCTGCGGATGCGTGCAGCTTAGGTTTATTATTAAACCAGAATGCGTCATAGGAGGGAGGCAGCATTGCCTGCAAATACACCCCTGTAGTCCTGCTGCAGCAGGTCTGTGCATCAACACCAGAAATAAGGAAGGTGTAAGGTTTGGTCACCCACATGTTTTGCAAAAGTGAGTCAGTTAGTAGTTATCAGAGTATTTGGGCTTTGGGTGTTGCAAATTGTTCTGGTTCTAGGATAAGAAATGTTTTTTTAGGGGATGAAGTTAGCTTTAACAACTTTCTGTGTTGAAGTGTTGAATTCACCTTGTTTTTTAACACACAAACCATAATTTAGAGGGTTTAATTCCGCTTAAAAAAACACAAAACACTAAAGTTTTGGCCAAAAACCTTAAGGGGGGACCAGCTGAATGTTGAGCTGCATTCAAACCCTTTTACTCTAATATTCCAAAATGAAAAGGAAGAAAGTTGTAGCACAAGTCTAAAAAAGGGTTAAATTAATCTTCCAGAACTCTGTTCAATTCTTCTTTTAAACGTTGAGTGAAGACGGACCAATGGCAGACATTAAAGTGGACTGAGGAGGACTATTAGTCATGCATTCCAAAAGATGAATATGCTGAAAGAACGCCATAAAACCCCACATTTTTGAGCACACCATCCCCACTGTGAAGCATGGTAGTGGCGGCATAAAGTGCAGATAGATGGTGCAATACAAAGCAACCAGACATTGAGTGGATATATAGACGGCGCTGTCTTAAAAAAGAAACAAACAGGAAGACAGAGATGGGTGGAGGAGAGGAGGTCTGCAGCCAAAATAAACCTTTTATGAGGGGGTCACAGTGACATGACTCCAGCAGGTGGGCAAACACTGCTAACATGAACATATTCCATCCCAGACTCATGGTATTTTCAGAACATTAATTAAAACATTATCAGCAATGCTGCAGCTTTTGCTTTATCAATCAAAAATAGTGTAAATTAGTCCTGATAGACCGGAGAAAGGGAAACATTTCAGGATAGAATCTGTGCTCAAAGTTAAAAAGACATATTTTGAGAGCAGCTCCTGCTGTTTCTACATCAATATAAAGCTATGTTTATCAGCTCAAGAAAAACTCTAATAAGTTACGCTTTTTCACTTTCTGTGTTTGTTTGACTAGCACTTTCCTTATTAGTTTTTTCCCCTTTTATATCATATTTGTAATTTAACACTGTGGATTGTATATTGTTTTTTCATTGTTGTTATTAGACGCTGTGAAGGCCAGGAAGAGGATAATATAAGTCATTGGAGTCAGGAGGAAGAGGAGACAAAGGAGGGGGGACACGAAACGGAGGAGAAGGTGATGAAAGAAGATGACGAGACAATGGAGTTACCGGAACAATGAACAGTCAAAGAAATAGTGCTTGGCACAAGTCTGATGTACAGGACTCAGTCAGTGGTAGGACTTGGCATAGGATGACATTTATCTCTAGGATTCAATGATTGAAGTCCAAATGTAGGCTTTGGTGTTCTTCCTGAACAGTTTGGTCAGTAAACTTTTATTGCCATCATTTGTTAAATACACAGGTAGATTTAATTGTTGACATTTGTTTTAGATTCCAAACAAAGCATTCATTTTTCAACCATCGTCCAATCAGATAAAAGCCTTCTAGGTAGAAATAAACTGGATTTTAACTCCAGGCCAGCCATGTTATGTGGTTTAGATAAATAATATCCATAGGTTAAAATGGCCTAGTCAAAGTACAGACAAAAATTCATACATTTTTTACATAAATAGAAAGTTGCTATCTACAAGTGCTCTTCAATAGGACGGTATGTAACAGAAACTGGTGAAGACTAACTCTGAAAGACCTGCAATTGGACCCGGCAGCTAAAGGTGGTTCTACAGTAGACTGACGCTGTATGGTGTGACACTTGCAAACTCCACCAAAAACCTTCAACTTCCAGATTCTGGACTGCTTTCTGTTTATCAAATAAAACCCCAACAGAGTAATCTAAAGTTTTGGTTTGTAGAAAGATGAAAACATGAAAAAGTTTAAGGGGTATGAATGCATTTCCTATCCAAATGGATCAACTGAAACCTGGCATTCTGAAAAGACCCATGAAGCCTTTGAATATGTGTAAAGCTGACAGAGAGCTGAGTTTATCCGAGGCTTACTTTGCTGCCGAGCCAAACTGCTTCAGGATGCTTAGAGACTGTCGCAGCATGCTGGCACTGGGGTCCAAACCAGTTCTCTACCAGACCTCCACAACCGCCTTCAGATGGATCCTGATCCGATATAAGAAGGTCCACACAGGTTCCAGAGCTGGGTCAGTTCATCAGAAGCAGAAGAGACAGGTGAGCCGGTTCGCACTGCCTTGGTGGTGAGATTCTGCGGGTGTTCTGGCCCTGGTTTTTGTTCTTGTTTTAGCTAATGAGGAAGTTGAACGGATGAAACGTCAGCAGCGAAAGGCAGCAGTTGTTTCCCCACCTTTTACAAGGTCTCACTCTCACAGCTTTGTTAGACACCTAAACACCCCACAGACAATCAGAATCAATGGGAGCTGAGCAGAGGTTAAATCCTTGTTACCCAGCAGACTAGTGTGACCTGTGAATGTGCTCCTGTTAAGCTTTTGCTCTGATGTTCTGAATATTCTGTACTGCAGCGCTACAAGGATGTGAAATGTGTGAAAGAGGAAACTATCAGAGCAGATTGAGACATCTTTGTCCCGACTTTCAAAAATGTTCTGATTTTACTGCCACTAGTTTCTTTGCAGTTTGCATTTTGAGCAACAACTTTAAAGCTGTTATTCAATTTTTAAGGCCATTAAAGCTTCATTACGTTTTAATAGCAGTATCTAGGCAACAGGAATGTCCAGCTTATCATGCAGTTTCATTTCTAGTCACCTGTTGCCTTTTTGAGGAACTTGTGTGCATATGTTTAGCAGCTGAAAATAAAGATGAACAGAAAATGAGATTCACCTATTGATTTTAAATATCATTTCACTTGATTGCTGTTATTGTAGATTGAACTAAGTTCTTTTTTCCACCGAATTTCCTTCTTTTATACTTTGATCAGATACTTTTTCATGTATATTGAAGCAGTTGTGGATAGATCTTAAAGTAGATGCTGAAAGCTCTGATGACAACACCGGTGCCTGGCAGATGCTGCAGTCTAGTGGTGGAAGCAACTAAATGCACAGAAAAATATTTCTCAGATAACCAGAGATTACCACCTTTACAGTTTCAGTTTCTATGGTGGTAATATGCTTTGTGTCCAGGTTTATACATAGTGATCAGATGTCTAATTATTAGCTACACAGGTCATTTTAAATACTAACCAAATCTGTAGGCAGTATTTCAATCAAACCATTGTTTAGTCCAACAAGATCTCCTACAACGAAGCACTTCTACCTGCCTCTAAAAGACAAGAACATGAAGATTTTTAGAAGGAAGAACCAGGATGGAGGTGTTATTTTCTCTGATTGATTTCCCTTCAGGATGGGGAGAGGATCACATGGAAAAGTGAAGATAAGTAGCTGCTGTTTGAGGAATTTCAATTTTGAGCCCAGGTCTTTATCAAAACAACTGAAATTAGGAAAACTAATCATTTTTATAACTTTAGTAGAGCTAATCAACTCTGGGTTAAAGGATGGAAAAGTGTGCGGTTACAGAGGTTGACTATTTTATAGCCTTTTTCAGATAAGGTGGCGTTTAAGTGGATATATCTTTTTATACATAAAAAATATTCAATTCCTACTAAGAAAAATGTATATGTATAGTTAAAGGACAATTTATCTTGTTTTAACAGTAAATTTACAACTTCACACTTTAATCTTAATTCAAGAAATCCCATTTTGAAATAATCTGCATTTATAAGAGTCATTTTAATTCCATTTGTATCTATATTGCATCTCTGTAATATATAACACAGAGTTTGTATTTGCACTAATGAATGTTTATTTTAAATTTTGCTTTAATAAACTATTAATCAAGTTAATTTTGGGTAATTTTTGTCCCAATTCCGAATCTGTGGGTTTAGATAATTTTTTTCAGTTAATAATCTTGCGTTACCCAGAGTAACGACACAACCTACTTGAATGGAGTTTCAGTTTGAGCTGCCATATGTTCAACTTCCTTTTTATTATCACAAAACTGTCCAGGCTGCTTAAAATTGGCGAAACTCCATGGCCCATGTTAAACCTATAAGAAAAGCGACATCATCCAACCACTTATTTACATCTTTATCGACTTTATCACAACCTTAAGCTAAAGTTTTATGTTCTTACAGTTTTATAATTGTAAAACTATACTTCTTGTTTACTAGAACTGAATGAGTTTTCTATAGTCTCAAGATGAAGCACATGCTGAGGATAACCCTCCTGGAGACAGTCACTGGTGACACATCTGGATAATTGTAACTTATTTTGGTATCAGTGGTTCCTGACATGTCTACAGATGATGCACAATTCTGCTGGAGGTATTTTGACAAAAAAAGTTTTGAGCTCAGTCAGTGGCAGAACATCAGTTTGCTTTATAGTTCAAGCCTTTCAAAGTCACCTACAGGCTTATATATGATTAAATAAATCCTGTAGCAGTACATAGTTTTAAATTATGGCTTTCCTTTTTCAACCCAGATTAAAAACTTCACATTAAACTCTTTCAGGATGTTGTGATATCAACCCATTTCTGACAGATGAACGTCCAAGATCTTTTGTGGCAAAAAAAAGAACATTGTCATGATTTAGACATGAGCTACAAGGTTACTGGTCTGTGCAGCATACCGGTAGTTGCTAAAATAAAAAAAAAGTTTGTCTCAACTTTGAATGGACACCATTGGCCTTACGTCACCTGCGTGATCAGAGTAAGTAGGCGTTTGTTTACAGTGCAGGAACAGCATAGTTAACGTAGATGCTTCCTGGATGGAGCTTTCTTATTCAACTATTATCCATCTGCTTGTTTTCACAGGTGAGGGAGGGGCTGCTGCTCAGACACCAGAACTCATCAGGAGTTAATAAATACTTTTTTGTATTTTTTCCAAACAGCATAAGGCTAATAACATACATTTTATTTGATATAATCCCTTGAAGTTTGTTTTATCGAATCAATCAACCCTTGATTGGGGATTTAAACTCCGAGATTCTACAAAAGTCATCTTGCTTTTATATGTGCTGCTCTTTGGGCTGTTTTCTCAAATGAAATGGCTCTGATTTTCATTTGTGAATGGCAGATTTATGCAACCAAACTTTGGTATGAATAAGCTGAAAGAACAAAAAAAAAAAGATATAGAACCTGTTATGGTGTATTAGTGTCACTTTAAATCAACCTGTTATGTTTTGCCATATACATTAGAACATTGCAATTGCAGATCAAAATCCCCTTCTTCAAGCCTCACCAATTCAGGACTTTATTTTAAAAATGCCTTCAATCATGTGGGAGAAAAATAACACGATTAACAATCTTACATTGTGTGGAGTCAGTGGTTCTTGTGGACCACCTACTGGTTTTCCCGCTCAGGGTAACATTTAAGTCCACTTATTCTGATGTTTGCATCAAAAAGACAGAGCAGGTTAATGTTAGCAGTTACCTTTTCAAAGACAGGAAAATAAACTGACAGATAATTTCTCTGAATTATACAAACCATTTATGTTCATGCCAATTATATAATTGCTTAAGTTTTGAGAAAAATCAGACTTTCCATGGGATACATTTCCTTTTAAAATGCAAACGAAAGATCATTTTATTATTAAGTATTACAGAGCTGGTATGTAAATAAATTGTCAGGAGACAAACAGTGACACCACATATTGAGGACTGTGTCAGAAACAGGGAGGGAACAGACAAAGAAAGAGCTGTGGTCACATGTGCGTCAGGCAGGGCTGGATTATTGAGCCTTATGTGGAGTTTAGAACAATAATTCTCCTAAGTTAAAAAATTATGACATTTCTTTATAAAACAGAGTGATCTTACCAACTTACATTATTCTTTTAACAGCACTGTGTAAAAGTCCTGATCCACTGAAACCTTTCAGCATTTCTCCATGAAACAGCCATACATTTGATATATTTAAAGAAATATTGCCCAGACCCCTTAATTCTGATGCCCCTAAATACAGAGAAGTCCCACCTCCCTCTGATCTGAAAGCGAGGGACGCGAGATGAGGAGCAACACTGATCAGGATCCACTCAGTGTTGGTCCTGCTCCCTCTGTTCCCCTGAGACAGAGCAGTGTGTTGAGGCTTCCAGGTGAGATGCTAACGCTTCGCTTGGGCCTCTTCAGCTTCAGTGAAAGAACAAGAAAAGATAGACAAGATTACAATTATGAAGGAAATAGGACAATCAGATGGACTTAAATATGTTTAGATATTTAACCTACACAGGTCCTGTAACTTTTTTTTTTTTTGGTGATATTTGAAGTTAATATTTGCATAACTTCTCCCAGGCTGCATATTTTGGTGGACATTTAATGTTTTAGCCTATTTTCCCTGCAACATACAGCAGCCTCGCTTCCGTCAGTGAGCCCCAGGGCTTTGGTCAAGTCTCCTGACTCGAAAAAGCGCTATAAAAGTACCATTTACCAGATTTTTCCCTGCAAGTCGTTATTATGACAAATAAATGGGTTTATACAGGAATGAGTCACTCTAATTTAATGATTTTTAATGGTCTTTTAATGCTCTTACAAATAATTTGAATGCCATATATATATATATATATATATATATATATATATATATATATATATATATTTATTGCGGCCAAATCCTTCATCATCTTTACCGTCAACAGGCTGCAGCCATGTCCCGAATTCCTCGTTTTCCAGCTCAAAATTTGCATTTTCCCCCAATCTCTTGCTTTTTCTCCGCCTCGAGCTTCTTTTCCGGTTTTACGATCAACCAGAAGCAGTTTCGCACAAATACATTGTGAAATTGTTTTTATTATCTTTTTTTTTTAATAAAGCATTTTAAATGCCACAATAATCACATTTAGTGAATTTTAATTTCAATCAAGGCCTTAATATAAAAAAAATTATAACTTAATGACTTTTATTGGTCTTTAATGACCCGCAGAAACCCTGATTAAACTTTGATGATTCAAAATGGACATTTTCAAGTATTTGTTGTTGACCAAGACATTATTACTGATGATCTATGTAATAATTTCAAGCGCAATTGCATAAAATAGGTGTCATTAAAAAAACGGCATTGACGCATGCGGCAGAATGACTGAGAGCTGGAACAGTGGCTTGGTTATGAACAGCTAAAAGACACAGTTAAGTTTTGTGTTGCAGCTTTTTGCTTCAGCCCCAGAAGGATGGCGTTTTGTTCCACATCGTTGCATCTCTTTTTTTTCTTTTTTTTTATTCCTTAAAACACATAACTTTAATTTCCCGTTGTTTTATTCACTCTAATTTAATGAAATGCACTCAATGGTTCATGTGTTATTTATGCCTGAAGACGTTTTTATTTGCTGTAAACTAGAGTTTACATTGTTTCTAGACTGTGGGAGGAAGTTGGAGATATGGACAGAATCTATGGATGAACCGGGAGAACATGCAAACTCTGTGCCGAATGATCCCAGGTAGGGATTAGAACCCTGCATAAAAAATAAATATTGTTGTGGCAAATAGCAGGTGTCCCGATACAAGTTTTTTATTTCCGATACGGTACATATATTGACAAGATATAATATTAGTACAGTTTTTATTACTGATTTTAAACCGTAGAATGATGGCAACAATCATTTTCTAGTTAATCAGCAACAGGACATCTTTTTAGCCATAACAAAATATATGTGAATATTTACATTTCTAAAAAGTGAGGCACAAGGTGGGCTTCAGAAAACAAAATACTGATTTTGATTTGCATTACCTTTCTTGAGTTCCTCCCTCTTCTTGGCAGCTTCTTCCCTCTGTTTCTTAATGATGGCCAGTCGGGCCAAATCAGCTCGTGCCTGTTCAGTCTTACCCTCCAGATGGAGCTTCATGTAACGTTCCTTTGCTTTTTGCTTCTCTATCTCCTCTCTGAGGAACACAAGGAAAGAAGATGACTCAATAGTAAAAGTTGAAAAAGAAGATTCCTCCTCAGTAGGACACCCACCTCTCTCTACGGGACAGCTCTCTGGGGGCAGTCACATCGATTTCTGTGACCTTTTTGCTCTTCTGGGAAACCCGGTTTGGATTCTCAATTTCTATGAGCCCCTCCACACCACTCCTCTTCTTAGACTGGGTGTAAAAACAAATTGTTACAGCTCGAACTTAAAGGTTTATGATACTGAAACTCCCCTTTTCATTTCAGGGATTTCAAAACAGATTTACCAGTTAGCAAAACGACAACAACAAACCTCAATCACTCACCTCCAACTCCTCTTCACTGCTGCTTTCCTCCTCAGACTCTGAGCTCCCCTTCTCTGCACCACCACTTTCCTCCTGTTAAACCCACACATAAACATCACACTACTGCAGAAGAGGTGAAAAGGATAACCTATCTGTACATCTGTCACTCACCAACTCCCTCTGGAGTCTCATCTGTCGATCAATCTCCTCCGGGTTGCTAAACTGCTTCCCTCTCCCTTTGTGGCCCTTTTTTCCTGTAAATTTTAGAGACGGGGTCATTGTGTATGAAATCACTCAAGATCAGGGCAGAACAGTCAGGCAGGAGATAACCCTGTAAGCTAACATAGGAGAGCTTTACAAATTTTATGAACATACAGGTGCTGGTCATAAAATTAGAATATCATGAAAAAGTTGATTGATTTCAGTAATTCCATTTAAAAAGTGAAACTTGTATATTATATTCATACATTACATACAAACTCATATATTTCAGATGTTTATTTTGTTTAATTTTGATGATTACAAATGACAACAAATGAAAATCTCAAATTCATCATATCAGAAAATTAGAATATTACTGAAGACCAATAAAAACAAAGGATTTATAGAAATGTTGGCCAACTGAAAAGTATGAACATGAAAAGTATGAGCATGTACAGCACTCAGTATTTAGTTGGGCCTCCTTTGGCCTGTATTACTGGAGCAATGCGGCGTGGCATGGAGTCGATCAGTCTGTGGCACTGCTCAGGTGTTATGATAGCCCAGGTTGCTCTAATAGTGGCTTTTAGCTCTTCTGAATTGTTGGGTCTGGTGTATTGCATCTTCTTCTTCACAATACCCCATAGATTTTCTATGGGGTTAAGGTCAGGAGAGTTTGCTGGCCAATTAAGAACAGGGATACCATGGTCCTTCAACCAGGTACTGGTAGCTTTGGCACTGTGTGCAGGTGCCAAGTCCTGTTGGAAAATGAAATCTGCATCTCCAAAAAGTTGGTCAGCTGCAGGAAGCATGAAGTGCTCTAAAACTTCCTGGTATGTGGCTGCGTTGACCCTGGACCTCAGAAAACACAATGGACCAACACCAGCAGATGACATGGCACCCCAAACCATCACTGACTGTGGAAACTTTACACTGGACTTCAAGCAACGTGGATGAAGTGCCTCTCTTCTTTTCCTCCAGACTCTGGGACCTTGATTTCCAAAGGAAATGCAAAATTTACTTTCATCAGAGAACATGACTTTGGACCACTCACCAGCAGTCCAGTCCTGTTTCTCTTTAGCCCAGGCAAGACGCTTCTGACGCTGTCTGTGGTTCAAGAGTGGCTTGACACAAGGAATGCGACAGCAGAAACCCATGTCTTTCATACGTCTGTGTGTGGTGATTCTTGAAGCACTCACTCCAGCTGCAGTCCACTCTTTGTGAATCTCCCCCACATTTTTGAAGGGGTTTTGTTTCACAATCCTCTCCAGGGTGCGGTTATCTCTCTTGCTTCTACACTTTTTTCGACCACATCTTTTCCTTCCCTTCGCCTCTCTATTAATGTGCTTGGACACTGAGCTCTGTGAACAGCCAGCCTCTTTAGCGATGACCTTTTGTGTCTTGCCCTCCTTGTGCAAGGTGTCGATGGTCGTCTTTTGGACAACTGTCAAGTCAGCAGTCTTCCCCATGATTGTGTAGCCTATAGAACTAGACTGAAAGACCATTTAAAGGCTTTTGCAGGTGGTTTGAGTTAATTAGCTGATTAGAGTGTGGCACCAGGGGCCATCAATTTTGAACCTTTTCACAATATTCTAATTTTCTGATATGATGAATTTGAGATTTTCATTTGTTGTCATTTGTAATCATCAAAATTAAACAAAATAAACATCTGAAATATATGAGTTTGTATGTAATGTATGAATATAATATACAAGTTTCACTTTTTAAATGGAATTACTGAAATCAATCAACTTTTTCATGATATTCTAATTTTATGACCAGCACCTGTATTGGTTTATAATCTTAGCTCCAGAAATGTACTAAAAAGCCTTAAAGTGATCCAACAAAGTCCATGTTTATACATTCTTACATACCCTTTACTGACTCACTGATGAATCTATAAGATTTTTTTTTTCTCCCCGGGCTTAATTGAATCTTTAGCGAAGAATAAGCAATTCACTCTCAATCTGCAGGTTTACTAGTGGTTCCTAGAATTTCTAAAAGTAGAATGGGAGGCAGATTTTTTTAGTTATCAGGCTCCTCTCCTGTGGAACCAACTACCAGTTTTAGTCCATTAAGCAGACATCCTGTCTACTTTTAAGGGTAGGCTTATAACATTCCTTTTTGATAAAGCTTATAGTTACAGTGGCTCAAGTTATCCTGAGCTATCTCTATAGTTATGCTGCTTTAGGCTTAGACTTCTGGAGGACATAGGGACCCCCATTTCATCATTCTATCCCTAATCTCCCACTCTGGAGAATCTGGTAGTTCAACCTCTAACATTATGCTCTCTTTACTTTTTCTCATAGTAGCTTCGCCTCGTCTATTCCTGTTTGGCTGTGACACCATCCTGGAGAGAAATATCAGCTGTGCTGCTGCCATCAAAACCTTTGTTTATAGATGTTGGAGATTGGCCTATTTTCCAGTGTAGTCCTGCTTGTCTGACTGGCTGGATTTGCATTCTTCCTCCTCTGAAATGGGAGTTGGCTGGGAGCTTGTCTGCCTGGCTGTGTGTTTCCTGGACGGGGCCGCCTTTTACAGCTGCTTTTTGTATCTCTGCTTCTATCTCCTTCAACCCCAGTCGGCCTCAGCAGATGGCCGCTCAGACTGAGACTGATTCTGCTGGATGTTTCTTCCTGTTAAAAGGGAGTTTTTCCTCTCCACCGTCACTATAAGCATGCTTAGTGTGAGGGACTGCATCCGAATCAATGAGTCAATAAAATCAACTGGGTTTCATTAGATAGAAAACTTTTAATCCATTTGACTGTATGATATGGTGAAATGTAAAGTGCCTTGAGATGACGTGTGTTGTTAATTGGCGCTATATAAATAAACTGATTTGAATCATAATAATTGAACTGAATTGAAATCACATTGGAGAAATTTACCTCTGCATTTAACCCATCCCCTAGGGTAGCAGTCAGGTGCCATCGTGGGTCTTGCTCAGGGAGCCAGAGAGGCAGTCTGGAACTCACAAGATGAGAATTCCAAGCTCTATGCACTAACCACTAGGCCACCACTCCCAATGAGTGTATTTGATGAGGGATTTGTGTCGTAGTGCTTAAAAAACATTACTTATTACAAGTATGACCCATGAGGGGTTTGAATTTCCTTTTATTTTCCTTTAAAACCACATGCCCCAACTGGGTGTTTTTTTTCTCTGGATCTGTTGGAGGATTCTAGCTCTCAAAGGGAGGGGGTTCTCCTGTTCACATACAACCAGTGTTTGCCAAGGATTGCATCAAATCAACAACTCAGTGCAAGCTGGTGATTCACAAAGGTAAAGTTTTTAACCACACACCATTTCAGAAACAAAAGTCCAACACAAATTGATCGTTTATAGACCAATGTTTCATAAAATTAGTGTAATAAGTAAACCATGAGCCTCCTCTTCCTTAGACTAAATTTTAACAGTATGATCTTAAGTCATACTTCTTCAGACACATTAATTGTGTCTTTTAAAGACATTTATATAATAATTCAAAAAGCTTTGGGCACAAAAAGTATCTGAATTATTTTAGGTATTACTCAGAATATCAATGAGCCTAACAAATCTCTACCACCAGATAAAAAATTACAAGAAATCAAAAATTTTAACTAAAATAAATGGACACTTTATGCTGACGATTATACTATGTTATTTTCAGGTCGATTTAAATACATCCAGCTCACTCTGGATTTTGTGAGCCATATAGCAGAAATGTTTCACAATAATGGACTTTAGGAGGTACAAACTGCTGACCTGCTCAGATCAAGCTGACCGGTGCTGTGTCTGGACAACATGTAATACCACTGTTACATACACACTAGAGGTCGCCAACCTACAGACTTCATGTGAGCTAACGCATTCAGAGCTTTACATGCTAACACTAGTTAAATACAAACGGTAAAAGGGAGAAATTTGGCCCCTAAAGGAATGTATTGGGTTCACCTTATCCACGTATTAAGGTTTAGACATTTGTATCGCTACTGGAATTTTACTTTTCCATCCTAAATGATCCCGAGGTCCCGTTTTCTGAGGCTCTGTTAGCCACTTAGCACGCTAACGGCTAAACATGTGCGGCTTTCATACAGCATTAAGTGGCAGCGCCAAATACATTCTCCTCAATAATACTCACCTCCGCGCGGCATTGTTTTTAGGTAAAGGCACAGTAGAGAAAAAAACTTAACAAAACATCCACTGGATTGAAACAGAAGCCTGTCGGCAAACACTGCGCCTTAATAGGCGTCCAAATAAAAGGCTAATGAAACTATTTTGTCTCTCGCGCTGTCAGCAAAGTCTCTGCTATCGGCGCATGCGCAGAAATGATGAAGAAACCAATCACCGCACAGCAGCAGAGCTGAGAATCCACCAATCAGATAGGGAGGGACCAGCCCCGCAGCTCATTCATAAAAAAAGGCCGAAGCTGAATTCTATAGAAATCTTTGGCTTTTTCTTAAATTATTTAATAAGCTGTAAGATAATTATTTATTTACCTGTGACTGAATCAATCGCAAGTGAATCAGTGTTACTGATGAGTATCCATAATGAAAAACACAGCCAACAGGCCTTAATGACTATAGACCTGTTGACCTGACATCCCACTTCATGAAGGTCTTGAAGAGAATTCTGTTCACCTGTAAGGAAGAAAACAAGGACCCCCTGCAGTTTGCTTATCAAGCTGGAGTCAGATATGCTTTGGAATGGTGTGGAAACCATCATCTGAACCCGAATGTCAACAAAACAGAAGATGATTGAAGATTTCAGAAAAAACCAAAGACGTAGCCAGAACATTTTTATAAGGGTGTCCAGGCACTAACCAATGTATACTGAGGGGCGGCCAAAAGTGGATAGGCACCAGAACCTCAGGGTCACTCTACACAGCTCCAACAGGAACAAGCACAATGTCCACATTTCTAAATAAAGACAAACTAAAGTTTCCTATAGCCTTTGCTAACAAATAGATGCATATATTTAAACATCTGTCTAGATAAAAGCTATATTGGATAAAATTCTATGAGGTTTGAGTTCTGGAGTGAACATCTTTTCCATCGTCATTACTTACCTACTTTTATCAATATCATTCTACATTAAATTGAACTACTAATATCTACATAAATTGATAATTTAATAGGTTTAAAATTAAAATTGTTATTGACAGTATCTGATTTCACCGAAGACTCTTAGATGACTTGCAGAGACACATAATTTTCTCTTTACCGCATACAACACAAAATCTAGTTCTGAAAGAGCATTAATTCTGAACTAATCTCTAATGTTGGCATATTGATTTGCATAATTAATCACAGTGTTTTTGTCAAGTAATTGTTAATAAATATAAAACTAAAACGTTTTGAATATTCCACTTGAGAGAAAAAAAAAATGGTAGGGGTGACCAATGATTGGCTAAGGGTGGCCATGGCCACCCCTGGCCCCCCATCTAGCTTCGCACCTGGAAGAAACAGGAACAAGTTCAGTTCTATCAATGTCATGGGAGAAGAAATGTAGGTGGTTGAGGAGTGTAAATATCTTGGTGGTGTTCACCTGGGCAACAAACTGGACTGGAGATGCAGCTATAAAGCTGTTGAGAGGGACAGAGCAGACTGTATTTACTAAGGAATCTTAGGTCATTAAGTGATTGTAGCAAGATTTTTTTTTTTATTGAACTTTCTTGATCTCACATTGGAGAAATTTACCTCTACATTTAACCCATCTCCTTGGGGAGCAGTGGGCTGCCATTGTGGGGCGCCCGGGGAACAATCAGGGGTTAAGGGTCTTGCTCAGAGAACCCAGGGGGGCAGTTTGCGGGAGAGGGGCTCAAACTCAGAACCCCAGGATTCCAAGCTCTATGCCCTAACCACTAGGCCGCCATTCCCCTCAAGATGCTGCATATTTTATGTGAGTCTGTTGTAGAGAGTGTGATTTCTTCTGCAAAGCTCCTAAAGAAGGCCAGCTCTGTTCTAGGGACTCCTCTAGAACCTCTGGAGACGCACCTGTGAAAATTCTCAGTCATCCAGGTCATGGTCAAGCTTCAACAGTTGCCTAAAACTAACCTCTGGAGATGATTTCATCAATAGTTCTTCATAACATGAAAAACGCTTTTGAAAAAGAAGTGAGTATCTTCGTCAGAGGATTGTTAAAAACAGTGAGAGGCTTCTTTAAAACCGGTGTAAAACAGACCGCAACTGAAGATCTCTGTAGCTATTATTAACATTTAGAACAACTCGTTAAAAATATGAGTTAAAATTAACATTTAATTTTCCTTTTTGGATCAAGAAAGTATTTTTAATTTGAATTAGTAGAATAGAATAGAACAGAATGGAATGGAATAGAAAATACAAGACTTAACAGTTAAACATCTAAAATTATTTTATTGGCAATTTGTCCAACTTGTGCTTTTGATATTTAGGGCCAGAGACAGTGGCCCCCCCCTGGACTAGAGAACATTTCCCTCCTGTTTGCAGTAAAGGACGAACGGGAACGAACGCATGTTCAGATGTTATGTTCAGATGTTTGCATAAAGGCTATCTTCGGTCATACATCTATTAATAAAAAGGTTTCCGGACTGAATGTGGAGTCTTTGACAGCATTTAGCACCCTGTGTCTGTGGTCGTATATTAATGGATCCTGGAAAGAACACAGGAAATATCAGGGACCCTTTTACTGTAGATCTTCTTTCAGTCCTATGAAAGAACACCTCAACTTCAATTTGCAGCTGCAGCCCCACTGAGAATCTGTACCTCCAAACTCTTTTCCCCGCAGTGGAATATGGAGAGAATGGTAGTAGGTAATGATGTTTATTTCATTTTTCCCAGAGATGCGATGTCTCTAGGGCCCATTTAATGAGCATTTGACCAGGTGAGATCAACACAGATCTGCACTCCAAGGATCTTATTACTGTCAATTCTCTCTACTGTTTCCTTATGCAGGCGTTGACCTCCAGAAGTTGATAAACTCCAAACTCTTAGGACAGGAATCACAACCTGGTGCACAACAAGGAGAAAGCAGACTTCTAGATGATTAACTTCTCTTCTCTGCATAGTAATTCATTACCCCAGAATACCCTGGATAAAAGAATATAAATAAATTAAATACCCATTTTATGTTTAATTCCAAATTCTATTCTGCAATATATATATATATATATATATATATATATATATATATGTATGTGTGTGTGTATTTTTCAAGCAATGTGCATAATACCGAGCTTTCTAAATATTACTGATAAATAGTTTTGTTTTTCTTACAATGCATTAGTTCTTTTAAGCTCTCAATTTTTTGTTCCCAAGGCCGAGAAAAAAAAAAAAAAAATTAAATACGGAACGAATACGAAAAATGTCTGTCCAACTTTTTTAATTTATACATAGAAAAAAATGAAATGAGAACAATAAATGAGTTTGAAAAGAGATTGAAGGTGCATAAAAATAGTTTGCATATTAAAATAAACATCTCAGATACAAAAAAGTGATATAACAAATGGGATACAGAACATAAACAGGAAAAGAGTGAATCCAGTACACTGCAGCCACATTGGCTGTTAAAAGCTGAATTCCTCATGTGAGAAAAAAAAATGCCTAAAGGAATGAAGGAAAAGTTTAAAAGAAAAAAAAGTATGTACATCATTAAAACTATTTCTAAATAAAATAAAAAAAGGCAATTCAGCAAAACTTTTTAATTTAATTTAATCTAACTAGGCTATACCCTTATTTTTTTCTTCGATGCTGAGTTTTCATATCTTCGATTTCTTTCTCCATCAGGTGGTACTCCACCGTGGTTTCAGTCAACTAGAAAGAAAAAATTTGATAATTAATTTTAATAATTCAGTAAATCTGTTATTAATGTAGTCAGGTGTATTACTTGTATAAATCAAACATGTTTGCATTTGGGTAACACAAAAAAAATCATTATAAAGCCTTTCAAGGGATTTGCAGGGGTCTAAATTTATATATAGCATTTATATTATGCTACGATCACATTTAATGTGATTTGAGCAGCAGAAGCAGCCGGTTTACATTCAAAGTCTACGGCTGAAGCGCATCAAGACGCATCGAAAGGTTCTACAGTGCATCTCAAGCAGCAGGAGCAGGGCATCTTGAAGCATCTGAACGTCTGGAGCAGCGCCTCATGAGCATTTAAGCATCTGAGGCACATGACCCACTTCACAAGCAGCACATGCTGGAGTTAGAAAATCTGAACCTTTGCTGCTCAAGGGCTGTTAGGTCTCTGTACGACCGGTGTCAGAGCCTGGTCTGTATTGCCGGCAGTAAGTCGGACTCATTTCCGGTAAGTGTTGGAGTCATAACTTTTTCTTTAGGGCAGGATTTTAATCCTAATTAACTGACTGCACAGAAAATGTTTTGAGGTGCACTTTCTTGAAGGGATGTCCTGATCCAACACTGATATCGGTCCAATAAAAGACAAAAAAGTAATAACGGATTTTTGTCGGTCGACATCTAAAATCTCCGATATTTTCACACTGATAGAAACACTCTGCTTCTGTTAAAAGCTTTTGTAACTCATTGGTTTATTACACATGGGTCAGTTGTTTTCTGAGCCTGAACTTTTTCGACACAGGCAAGAAACTCATTTCATGAGTCAAAGATTGCATGAATGATTCAAGAATATATTCCACTTTTGAAAATCCAATACCAAAATCGTCCAGAAGATGACAAAAGTGCATCTATATCTACTACTTGCATGAACCACATTTCCTTTGATATCCAGTTTTGCTGCTAAGCGTTCCTGGAGCACAGCGTGCAGAAGCAAGCGCCTGGTTCACCTAACTTCCTACACCAGCTGCTAATTGGCTTGCCATCCCACCCCGTCTCCTCCAGCCATGCCCAACGCCACTTATTTTTGAGACCTTTATCTATGGTCGTAACATCTTCCCCGGAGTTCATGAACATGCAATTCCATTCTCTCTGTCATCCTTCTCTCCAAACACAAAGTTTCAGTTATTTATCTTTTGACTTTTTACATGTCTCTTCATTGAATGGAGCCGTAAATGGTGCAAGGAGGCTTTCAGTGTGAGAACTTCAGCACTGTATCTGTATCTGTTGTCAAGCATCAAAGATGAAGCAGCGATTATTAGGTGTTGTAATAAGGATAAACAAGGTCTCACCATGTCCATCAGAACTTCAATCTTTGCTTTCAGGAGGTTATTTTCTTCCTCCAGTTGTAAATTTTTTTTCTTAAGCCGGTGCACCTCCCTACTAGAAGCATTTCCTCCAGATTCTGGTTGAACAAACACATGAAAATCGTATTTTCACATCCAAACAGGACACAGTCAGTTAAAAATGTCTGATTTCAGAACAATAAAAGTTATTCTCACCTGTTATCCACTGTCCGTCTTCAAACCTCCAGCTCTGGCCTCCTATGGTCATTGCAGGTGGTCCATATTCAAGACCAAGCTCTATTTCTCTTGTTGATCGATCCAACTAAAACACACAAAAAAAAACACATTCATATTATAATGCTAGAAATTATAACATACTCATTTTTAAAGAAGTTTTGAACACAAATAAAAAAAAACAAGATTCGCCTTTACAATCAGACTTATTGCCCCTAATTGCGCTAAAGGTTGCACTTTGTTAATATGCATGACAAATAAGAGACAAAACTTTGTACAGACCCAATTTTATTTTTTTTTACAGACCCAATTTTAGACTAATTATTGTTGCAAGCCTTTTGGGGTATGTCTATCAGTGAAGAATCTCTCTTTTATTTAGGCTATACTTTGACTAGGCCATTTTAAAACAATCTACCAACCCATTGAATTTCTAGTTTTATTTTATGGTTCTACTGGAAGGAGAACCTTCCCCAAAGTTCTTTGCCAGTTTTCTTTTAGGATTGTCATAGATTTATCTTCATCCATTTTCAACTTAAATCTGATCAGTTCTGCAAAAGAAAAGCATCCCAGTAGCATGATGCTGCCACCACCCTGTTTTACCAAGTGGATGGTGAGTTCAGGATGAGCAGTCTTGCATGCAGGCCAAATAATCATTGGTCTCCTGTGATCAGACAACCTCCTTTCTAACCTGCTTTCCTATGCAAGCTGAAGAGACACATCCCCACAGCATAATGACGCCACCCCCATGTTTAACAATGGGAAGGGTGTGATCATGGTGATGCTTTTGCACAAAAAATTATATTTTCTTATCCTACTATTTCAAACTTTGTTACCCCCCATGGTCACTCACCGTATGAAGGCTGGACAGAGATGCAGATTTGCGCGGCGGCGTCTTCTTCGGACTGAACGTACTTCCAAACAGCGGCATCAGTGATTTTTTCAGATCCTACGAGACAGTGCACCGGTGATAGATGTTTAAATGCTGCCGTCTGTGTTTATCGTTGCCAACGACACCAATCCCCTTCAGGGAATCACAAAGCGCACTTAGATAATTATGAAGGCGTCCCGAGAGATACTAACTCACATCAACGCTGAACTGTAAACTGATCTGGCTCTAATCGCGTAGCCTAAAAGTTTAATAACGTATATATTTACCTCCATACACCGTATTTACTGAAATGTGATGGTTTAAAGTCTCCTCTCCAGACATGGACCGAACTGCGCATGCGCGGAAGTTCCCATTACTGAAAAAAATGTAAAAGCTTCGATATGGAAGTTTCGTCAATGTGACCCGATTCTGGCACTAAACTATAACATATGAATAGACTTTTTAAACCTTAGTTATAAAATTGTATTCATAGTTCTACTTTGCACGATGGTTATGCACATTATTACGTTTTAACTTCTCAAAAATCCCCGTTTTAAAATAGAAATGGTACGGGCCATAAAACTACAAAACGAAACATCCATCCAATCGCTTATTTTACAAGCATTCCAAAACAGATGCACTCATTTTAATGTGCAAAGTCAACAATAACTGAAAAGACAAATAATACAACACAATACTCGATTCCAACTAGTATGTCTTTAAAATTGATGTGTCTCTTGAGCTGTGCTATGCAGCCCCAGTGGCCTAATGGATAAGGCACTGGCCTCCTAAGCCAGGGATTGTGGGTTCGAGTCCCATCTGGGGTGGTAAATTTTTTGATTTCTCCCGAAAATGACGGAGAGGTTAAACTTGGTAGCGTAATATTGTTAACCTATTTTTATCATCTTAAATTCTTTGCAACAATCGCTTTTAAAATCGTCTTCTGTGCTTTCCTGTGATGGGGAAACTAAGCGTCTTTTTATGCGTCCTGCTGTGGTCTATGGCTGTGATGTTGAATGTATTTGGGAGACCATTGAACAAGGTGCAATACCGTGAGTTATGAAATGTTTGCCTGTTTAACATGCTTTAAATTCATTTAAAGTCTTTGATTTCCAAATCACGAAATGGCTAATGTATTAGACACATTGTATTTATATTAGAATTTGTTTTTTACTTTTTTGGTGGTTTATATTCATAATCTTTTTTTTATATTTATATATATTTTGTTTTCAAAGAAAACGAAATAAGTTTATTTACAAAACTACCCATCAGTTTGATTTAAATTTTTTCAACTGTCATTTACTACATAAAATAAGAAAATTGTTGAATAATCTGTAATATCTCTATGATATAAACAAGATTTTTTCCCAATTCTAATATATGCAGATTCATGTGAAGCCTTGAAATAGACTTTAAAAGGTTTTCGACAGGTTAGACATATTAAAGTTGTGGAATAATTACATAAGTTATTTGATAAAACAGACCATTAATAAAAGACTACAGTTTTTCAAAAATCTATTCCAATGGTGTCATGACATTATATTATATAATGTGTTATCTAACCTCAACCCTGTAACCCTTTCCATCGTGCTACAATGGTAAAGCTCCAAGAGGCCACGGTGTATTGGGATGCTGCCCAGAAAAGCGTGATCCTGAAGGAGGGGGTGATGGTGAAGGATGGTGGCGCCTACGGTTACTTCAATGACACTCTGCTGCTCTCTGGATGGGGTGTTTTGGAGATCAGGGCGGGTTTTGGAGGAACTACACAGGGTGATGAAATTACATTTTTTCTGGCTGGTTACCTGGAGGGTTACCTCACTGCTGGGTGAGCTTTCTCAAACTGAGACACATCACACACATACATGTTGTCTATGTGCAAGGCTTTCAACATAAACAGCATGGAAAGATACATAATATTATAGTTTTTTTTCTTTCTGATTTTAAATCATGCTTACTTTCCTGTGTTAGCAAAGTTATTCCTGCAAACTAAATGCATGAATACTATTGAGGGTTATTGTCTATCTGGAGCTATTACTTATATCTGTTAAAGTGCAACAGTCCATCCTGCAGCAAATCATCGACAGACCATAATGCTGCCACCACCGTACTTATTTACAGTCGCAATACTGAGTGCATTTGCAAAATGTAATCTCTTTTTAGTTGCTTTTAGAAATGACTACGTCTTCTCTGTAGGTGATGACTTTCTTCAATCTTCAGCAGCATCTTCACAGTAGCATTCTAACTCAAATTCTTTTGTTTTTCTGGGGTTCATTCACGTATACCAAAAATTCCAAAATTGTTTGTAGTTGTATATGATAGTTTGAACAGATGAATGTGAGACTGAAAATTGGACCCAAGGATAACCTAGACTGGTGGAGATCCACAGTTTAATTCCTCTCATCTAGGCGGATTTCTTTATAGTTGTTTATCATGTCACACAAGGAAACAGTTTTTAAAGGGGGTTTAAAATACAGCTAAAGGTGGGTCTTCTTAACCAGATTTTGCTACTTTCCATTTTTTATTATTGTTTATTAATTGATCATTAACTAACATTAAGATATGCAAATATCTGAGACTAAAGAAAGTAGTGAGGTAGAAACATTTCTCTTTATTTTTACTCTAATGTGTAGCAGTTTACAAAAATTTCTGAGTAAAGCATAAATTTCTTTGTAGTTTCTTTCTTTTTTACCATTTCCAGAGTTATGCATAGCGTAAAAGAAACATTGAACTCATATTCATTAGATAGAATGGTTGTAATGTTATTTTGCAACTTGCAATGCATTTAAACAATACCTTGTTATAGATAATAGCTCTGCATGTTTTATTAGAACATTAACTGTGTTTGTAAGAGCTGAAAAAAGGAAAAATATCCATATGCAGACGAAGGGGATGAATAAACTTCTGCTCTCCCTGCTGCAGACAGATCTACAGTCATTACACCAACATGTATCCTCAGCTGATAAAAGATGAACAGGTTTTGATCCCCTTGAAAAACTTTATGAGGTATGTTTGGTATAAAATTATAAAATAATTGCAATAATTCATAGCAGTAATGCATGGTGTTGAAAGTAAATAGCCTTCTCTGCTGTTCATTGAATGATCCCAAGCAAACAGGACAAATGGGCCAGAGAGCAGGTGACTCAGAGGAGAAACAGCGACCCCCTGTGGAATCATCTTGGACTGATCCTGGCCCAGCTGGATGGACTGCATGCTGGAGCTGTAGAATGGGCCAAAAGCAATCACAGGGAGGTGTGTGTGTGAGTGATAGAGAGGACGTTAGAGGACTGTCACAGTATTAGTTCATTAATCCCTGCCATTTACTCTCCCCTTCCCTCCCAGCCTCTGCCGCTCTTTGCTCTCCAGTTCCTGAATGGTGTTGGCGACCTCCTGGACCTCGTCCCAGCTCTGACATCTCGCTCCAATTCCTCTGCAGGCGCAGCCACTTTCAGGAGGCCTGGAATGGGCCTCTGCACAGCTCTTATAAAGGTTAGGCCAAGCTCATTTGGCTCAAGCTGTGAGGGAAATTTCAACAGGACTAATTGCTTTTATGAGGAAAGGGTCAGTCCAGTGCAAGTGAGAAGAGTGGGTCATGCAGTGATTGTGTTTTTCTCTTGAGTTGCCTCCATTTAAAAAAATAAACTTATCAGTCCTGGCGTCTCAGATGCACTCCTCCCCAAGGTTTCATACAATTTAGGTCTGGGGACTAACTATTGCTATGTTGATTGGCCCATAAATATTTTGTCCTTACCTGTTTAATTACACTGATTACCCTTTTTATAGCTTTCTGCTGAGAGGTCATGATATATTTACCTGAGAAAGTTCCATTGGCATTTGGAGGAGAAGTAACCCTGGATATGAGATGCTTATATTTCATTTAACATGATTAATCTTGAGTATTGGTAGGCGAAAAGTTTCATTTTAGGCTTATTTGACAAAAGAATACACAGTTCCAGTTACAATTCCTGTAGAGGTTAAAAAAACCCTACATGTTTTCATCAACATAATTTCTTTAAAAAGTACTCTAAAAACCAAAGTGTACAGGTAAATAAGAACAATAAGAAAAATCTAAATAATGCTAAAAATACAAAAGCAATAAGCAAAGTACAAGGTTGATAGTATAAGCAATAAAATCAGCAAAATAAATAAAAAAGAAAACAAAGGTTGACCAAATGGTCGTGCTTTCTGGAATTAAAAGCCTGTTTAAAGGAATAGTACACCCAAAACATGATTAGCCTTCATTTTCTACTCACCCCCATGCTGAACAACACTCTGGAGTACTTTTTTGATATCTCAAATGCATCTGGAGATCTGGGAGGCTTCTTCCTGTCTGCTGACATTCAAATAATGGAGGTCTATGGCGCCCGAGGCAGAAAGGTCCATAAAAGTCCACAAAAAACGTGTCAATATTCCTCCATACTGCTCGTCCAATGTATTCCAAGTGTCCTGAGTGGGTAGCATCCAGAATTTACTCGAAACGAAGTCATTTAGAATGTTTTTAGAGCCTAAACAGTAGTGTATAGGATTTCCTGAAAGCGCGCGCCCGCACGTTCACGACGCTACGGAAGCCGGCAGACCAACCAGATGAAAGTGCGCATTCAGCTCGGCAAAGAACTCATGCTCTTCCTCAACACTGAAGTCCTCAGACATTTTTCTTTCGTTGTTTCTTTCTTTGCACAGGTAAACAGCACATTTCTTCTTCTACGCTTGCATTATCAGCAGAGCAGACGCTGAATGCGCACTTTCATCTGGTTGGTCTGCCGGCTTCCGTAGCGTCGTGAACGTGCGGGCGCGCGCTTTCAGGAAATCCTATACACTACTGTTTAGGCTCTAAAAACATTCTAAATGACTTCGTTTCGAGTAAATTATGGACGCTACCCACTCAGGACACTTGGAATACATTGGACGAGCAGTATGGAGGAATATTGACACGTTTTTTGTGGACTTTTATGGACCTTTCTGCCTCGGGCGCCATAGACCTCCATTATTTGAATGTCAGCAGACAGCAAGAAGCCTCCCAGATCTCCAGATGCATTTGAGATATCAAAAAAGTACTCCAGAGTGTTGTTCAGCATGGGGGTGAGTAGAAAATGAAGCCTAATCATGTTTTGGGTGTACTATTCCTTTAAGAGACGATAAATTTGGAGTTGAGCTCAGTTCTTTAAGGAAATGCACCTCAGTTTAGTTTTATGTATAACCCCCTAGAAGTTCCCTAAAATTTGTACCAACACTAAATAAATAAAAAAAATCAGTCAGATCTCTATTTAAGGGATTGTTCTGGGTACCCATACTTTTAGATTATGTTGTCATATAAGTTCTCTATGTTCACCCTAAGGTGCTGCCAGGCTATGAAAACCTGCTGTTGGGCCACTCTAGCTGGTACACCTATGCTGCCACTATGCGGATCTACAAACACTGGGACTTCAGGGTGTCCAATGGGCATGTCTCAACCGGACAGATGTCGTTCAGCAGCTACCCTGGTATGGAGACTCAAGAGATATCACATATATTTCCTGTTTAGGCATCACAAGACACGCAAAGACTAAAGACACAGTACTAAATCACAGCTTTCCTAAAGAGGTGAATGTCTTTTCCGATCCATACATTTTCTTTTACTGGAAATTACAAACAAAGGCATCCTGGGCTTTTTTATTTTTATTTTTTTTTAGATTGAATGAACACTCTGTGGTGAAGCCACTGCTAACTGAGTTGTAAAGTAAATGTTAGCTCAGTGAGAGCACAAAAGAAAACCAAACATGATTAAATGCATTCCTTTATTGTTTGGTCAGCAGAGATTTAGTCTGTTTTTTTTGGCTAAAGATTTGTTAAGTGCCTCAGGCTGTAAAAAAGCCTCTTATGGACTCAACTCTATCAGAACCAAAGTGGGTTTAAAGTACTATTTATAGAGAGCAGCAGGCAAAGGTAGTCACTTCACTCTATTAAACTGAAGCAATCAAACTACTCGGTCCGCTGTGATGCTTAGTCTTAATAATTCAACATGGTTTCTTCAGTGGTTACAAAAACATTAATGGTGACAAGGTTTGAAGTCAATTTTTGTTCATTTTTACCCCTGGATATTGCATCGTCAAGGGTATTTAGCTGTCATGATATGCTGTTGTCTGTTTTTATTTTATTTGCTGATATATCTATGTTTTTTTGGTAAGCTTTTGCCATAATCAATATTTTGTCTTTATAATTGTTGTTACAGTCTGCATCTTGTATCTTATGTTCTTTCCTATGTGTATTTTATGTATTTTCTTAGATTGTTATTCCTTATGCCACTTTGGTTTATCAATCTTTTGTGTTTTCCCTCCATGTTATCTGTGATTTTATCATGATTCACACTGTAATGTCACTCAACATGGGTGAAAATAGAGTTTTTTAAAGGTAAAGTCCAGTCAGCAAGGAATAATCAATGGATCATTATACCGTACCATACCATACCATACCAACTTTATTTATGAAGCACTTTATGCACCGGGCAGTACCAAAGTGCTGTACACAATCATAAAATACAATGCAATTATAAAATAGAAAAGATCGAGTATAAAACACATATTAGTATACAAACAGAATAAAACAAAGTGAAACCTCTTAAATTGTGCCAAAAGCCAAGGAAAAAAGACGAGTCTTAAGAAGGTACTTAAAAATAGCAAGAGAAGAGGCCTGTCTTATGCTCAGAGGCAGATCGTTCCATAGCTTAGGAACTGCCACAGAAAAAGCACGGTCCCCTCTGAGCTTGCTTTTTGTCTTTGGGACCCTCAGAATCATTATCTATACCTAAAACTAATAGGTTCACTGTAATTTCATGAATTTAGCATTAATCAGTAAGAAAATAAAAAACAATAATTTTCGTTGTGATCACTGAGTCTGGGAGCAGCCTTTTTTGCCTAAATTTAGTAACACCTCACTCCTGACATCCTCCAGCAGTGACGTCACGGTGTGGTAAGCCTAGCGCCATTCTCCCCGCTTTACAAGCAAAATCAATGGGAACTACTAGACACATCTGCAATAAACAACATTTATTGAAGATTTACAAAGGACTTCACCATTGAAATCCGCGGGAGCTTTAGTTAAACTGACAATGGTAGATGGATGTTATAATACATGGGGTAAAAGTGGAAAAAAAAGAGTTATTTCACCTTTCCGATTCATGATCCTCCACGGAAACATAATATGTAGCCAAAATATATGGAAGAAGAATGTTTTCAAGATGACTTGGATAATAGCGTGTTGTGACAAACACCAGATACAGCACTGGGTCTTGATCAACAGCCGATACCGCACCGTGACGTCACAAACTTGTAGGTGGCAGTGTTCTTTGACAAACATGGATGCCTCCAGTAAAGCACATTCAAATCAAAATTACTCTTAATGAAAACACTTATCATTTATTGAACTGTATTTAATAATTTTATATTTAAAGTACTTTCAGAAGTTTGAATTCTGAATATGACTGGACTTTTCCTTTAATAATAAATAAAAAAAATAAAACTTAAGGAGTTGCATAAGAACTAAATGACAATGGGAAACGAGACAGTATAACAAAAGTATCTAAGGAAGAACAATGAGAACCAGTAAACACATCATATACTCAGGAACAGATGGAGAATGACATTAAATACGATTTAATGGGAGATTATGAAGCAGGAGCCTGAGAAACGGAGACTAATACATCAAGATGCTGCTAAAAAAAAGATGCAAAAAAAAAACCTGTCAAACCAAGATGAAAATCTAGCATGACACCGAACAGAAATTAACTCGTAATGGCCAAAGGTCTCCCTATCTCAGTCTTTCTGCTCTGTACTCTCCCTCATTTTTTTTGCACCTCCTCTGTATTTAAGCTGCCTGATTTTCATCGTTCCTTGTTGGTTTCTTGTGTTTATCCTGCCTTGGCTTGATCTCTCATGTCTCTAAGTTTTTCACCATCAATCCTTCACACCACACCATGTTTTGGTCCTTGTTTAACCTCACAGTAACCGACATTAACCCCATTGTCATATTGCACCTTCAGGCTAAATCATTTAAACCATCTTAAATGTTCCCATGAAACAATAAAGAAAAAAAAACTCACAGCCTTATTAAGATTAAGCTCAGTACAAAGGGATTTTGATGTTTTACATTATGGAAGAACTATAAATTAAGTTTCATGTTAAAAAACTTCAGTTTAACCAGATTTGAAACCAGACTTGTATGTTAACATTCCAGCAGACCTCACATGCCAAAAAAAAAAAAAAAAAAATAGAAACCTTGATCTGTTTTTGTTTTTCTCATCTCTCACTGGCAACCTTAGATCATAATGTCCTCCCATACCTCCGCCAGGTTTCCTCATGTCTCTGGATGACTTCTACCTGCTTGGGAGCGGCCTGCTGATGACTCAGACCTCTATCGGCATCTTCAACACCCCGCTGTTCTCTCGACTCAACCCTCACTGCCTGCTGGCTTGGCAGAGAGTCCGCCTGGCTAACGGTCTGGCACACACGGGAGAGGAGTGGGCGCAGATTTTCTCTAAATATAACTCAGGTGGGATGTGAGCCAAAGCTAGAGAAAACTATAGGATCTAAACACATAAATGTCATCTTTGGAGCCTCAGTCTGCAGGAAAACAGATAAAAGTAGAGATTTAACCAGACAACAGCTGGATTTGTTGATTTGGAAGCTGATTTCATCTTCTGCATCATGTTGCTATGGGACTCATCAGTCAGCAGCTTTCCCTCCTCATTCAGTTATTTATTAGTTTTAAACCTGAGACTCTATCTTTGAATTCTATTTTTTTTCCTCTTAATTCTTTTTGTGAGTTTGCAACTCATGAGCCAAAAACTTCCCACCTTTTTTTATCTTCTCCATCCTAATCCCTCAGGCGCAGACATGACTGTGCCTGTCAGCTTTGCTGTGAACGTCTTATGGAAGAAGCAATCAAAATAGCTGCTTTGATTTCTTTATCGTTTTAGTTTTTCTGGTGAAAACTAAACATACACAAATCTTCATCTTTATAAGGGTTTTACTACTTCTATAGGAATGGTTACAGTTACAGATTTCACCTGAATTATTGAGCTAATTTACATCTTTTGGAAAGGACAGCTTCAGTCATGTAAAAGTTTGTCAGAGACACACACATATTGGGCGTATTATTTAGGGACCAAGGTATTCAACTATTATTAGAAACTCCAATTACTGTCACAGTCTTGATTCTGTTATGTTTTCTTTTGAGTAATCAGTTTTACTTTGCTCCATGTTTTCTAGTTTTAGTGGTTTCATTCTTATTTTGTTGTGTTTTCTGGATATTTTTCCATTTTCAGGTTTTTATTTGTTGCCCTCTGCTGCCCTCTTGTGTGCTCTTTTTTCCCTAGCTCCTTTCCTGTCTGGTCTGTTCACACCTGCTCCCAATCTGCTCATTAGTCCTCTCTTTGTTCAGTCTCCCATAAATAAACTCTTTGTGCAGTTCCTCAGTGCTGGTTCCTCGTCTAACTTCCTCCAACTCCGTCTCTCTGAGTCTTCCTCGTCGAGATTGTTTTTTCCCCTGATGTCTCCATGGTTTCTGGTTTTTTTCACTTTTTTCACGTTTGATTTTTTTGGATTCCTGCCTCTGTTGTCATTAAATCATCAAGAAAGTCACCTCTGCCTCCCTGCCTCTGCATTTGGGTCCTCAAACCACAACCAAATCCTGACAATTGCTCCATTCATCATGATACTCTTTTTGCATGTGTGCCTTCTTGAACGTGCAATAAATTGGAAATAGACTTAAAAAAGAAAAATAATAATTCTCATTGGTCAACTGGGATGGAAGTAACATTATTTATAAACAATCAGTCCTCTGCATGAGAAGTTCATGAACAAGAATAATATAATATAGACCAAACATTTCTCATTTTTCTTTGTAGAAACTGTAAATAATCTGGCATCTGTTTCCTTCCACTTCAAAGGTTTATGTTTCATTAATCTGGTGTTTAGGTACATATAACAGCCAGTATATGGTGGTGGACCTGAACAAGGTGTCTCTGCGTCACAGTATCAGCAGTGGAGCTCTGACAGTTCTGGAGCAGATCCCGGGGAAAGTGGTCCACTCTGATCAGACTCAAGCTTTACGAAGAGGTAGGAAAAATATCCATCTGTGTCCGGCTACGGCGTCCAGATAGATTAATGCTGCGTCTTTCATTTGGCAGGTTACTGGCCGTCTTACAACATACCTTTTCACGATGAGATCTACAACCTCAGTGGGTACAGCATCATGTGGAGGCGATATGGAGAAGATTTCTCCTATGACCTCTGTCCTCGAGCTAAGATCCTCCGCAGGGACCAGGCCAAGGTGTCCGACCTCGGCTCCCTCAAGCACATGATGAGATACAACAGTAGGTGTTTCAGCAACAGCTTAGTTCATATTCCTGACTTACCGCTCTCTTTTTTTGGGTAACCCTGCTTTGAATTAGCCAAAGGCATGTCAGCAAAAAATATTTAAGTTAAAACTGAGCATCAGAAGTGAACCTGGGATGGTTGTTGGCATTAAACACAAATGATCAGGACTGACCATGCCATGCCCATCCCTTAATGGTACCATTAGACCCATATTATAATGGCTGCTTCATCTCACAAACTTCAGGTTATCTCTGGTTTCTCCACACTAGATTTCAATGAAGCAGGGGAGCTTAAAGATGTGGTGAAACGAGGGGTTCTAATCCTGGTTCTGCAGCTATAAAAAATAAATATAAAAAAGCTGTCATATGTGGACGCACTGTATATACTGTATAGATCCCATGCACCTTTTTCTTCCCTTTGCACCTTCTTCCTCTTTGACTATTTGAGCTGATGTATGACTAAATGTATCCACTGTGAGATCAATAAAGCCAATGAATCAATCAATAAAACATAAGCAAGAGTTTCAAAGGATCTTTCTAAATCTTTGCTGAAACCATGCGATGAAAATTTAGAGTAGCTCTCAAGGCAAAATGCAGGTCCATGTAGGTACTATAATTTATGGCTGCAATTAATTATTTTGCAAATCAATTAATCTGTTGATTTTTTTTTTTTAATAATTGGAGAGCTAAAGGTTCCTTAGACCAGGTGAAACTAAAACTATTCCCCTAAAGGAGTTCTTGTTAGAGCATATTGATGGATGAGAACATTTTTTTAATCCTAAATGCAAAATGATTTATAACTTTTTTACAATCTTGGTATAATTGCTGCTCTAAGTGGGTCGCTCTGTCTGCTAAAAGCATGTTTTAGAGTCTCTAAACGTTTAATTGATTACTAAATTTGTTGACGATTATTTCAATAATCGATTCATCGCGATTAATCTCATTGTTTCAGCCCTAATGTAAATGTATAGACTGACAGAAAATATTAACAGAACACTGAATATTTTACTTAAAAGCAAACAGAATTAATGGTTCTATTTCAGACTATAAGAGAGACCCCTATGCCAAGGGCCATCCCTGTAAAACCATCTGTTGCCGTAACGACCTGAGACCAAGGAGGCCACGTCCAGGAGGTTGCTATGACACCAAGGTCAGGAAACATCTTTGAACTATGGTCCAAACAGATTTTTAAACAGGCACGTGGACAGCTTTGTTCCCTCTCTGATGGGCTGTTGTGCTGATAATGCATTGTTATGAGCACGTTGTTACAGATGAAAGGAAAATGCTAATGTGCAGACTGTATGATATGAACACTCGGTCAGGCGCAGAAATTAAAAACCCAACAGAAACTTCCTCTAAAAAGCTGTACTTTGTTTCCTGCCCTCCCCTCTGTGTGGCGCTGCAGGTGACCGACTACCAGATGGCCTTACAGCTGTCTGCCGAGGCCATAAACGGTCCCACAACGCAGGGGGGCCTGCGTCCGTTCTCATGGCGCTCCTTCAACCTCACGGCTCATCAGGGTCTCCCACACACCTACGTGTTTCCTTTCATCACCATGACGCCCACACTGCACCGGCCCTGAGACACGGCCTCCCCTCCACCTGTTATTACTGAGCTATAACTATAATCCAGGGTGGATGTTGATGATTTTATTAGATTGTTGACAAAAAAAAAATTTTCTAACATTTTTCTTTTATTTAACTGTTATTTTCTGAGTCTTTTCAGAGATAGGAGCTTCACATGAAGCTGTTTTTAATGTGAAATTTATTATTAATAATTTATTATAAAAGTTATATTGTTTTGTCCTGACTCGTGTTCGGTTGTGTCTGTATATATATTCCTTTCTGTGCCTCTGATCCCCCTTGGGGTACAAACTGCTCCACCGTGCAGTCCTGATTAAAAAAAACAAACATAAAAAAGCATTACTTTTAACAAACCTGAATGAAATCTGTTTGTTTACATAAGTGTTATGAATATGTGTTGCACTGAGTTTTTTTCCCCCAGGCTTCTGCTGTCAGTTGTTACGGAGGTTTATGTTATCAGAAAACCGCAGACCCTCATGTCAGGTAAATAAACAGACACCTCAGAGTGTGAAGGGTCTTCATAGAGGAACTGTTTTCTTTTTTAAATATATGCAGAGATAGAAACCAAAAACTGTACACTGATTTGTTGAAGTTTTTGAGCTGACACTTGAAAATGGCAGATAAGTTAGTTTTACTATGCTTTGCCAAAGAATACACTCTTTCTAAATGTTTTCCTTTCAGTCAAGTTTGCTAATTTTTTTTTAAATTCCTTTACGATTTCCCAACACAATCTTAGTCCCTCAGGTGCTACATGACTGTGCTTGTTAGTGTTGCTGTGAAATTCTAAGCTAGAAGCACTCACAGCTGCTTTTCATCAGATATTTACATAAAAATTGCTTAATCTTCATCTTTTTTCTGGTGTAGAGTGAAAAATATATTGAATAAAGGAAATTACATGTTGAGGAAAGATTAAATCTGCTTTTTTGCTTTTAATTATTGAGCTAGTTTAAGCATAAAACCACTCAATGTTCCATTAGGTTATTATCACAAACTTTTATTTATTTTACCAAGATTTTATCATATAAAACACAATAAATCAGTGATGGATTGTGACATGGAGGGAAAGTTATCTGTGTTTTTTTTTAACATTCTTGCACAAATACAAAAAAGAAAAGAAAAGAAAAAACTTGACATACATTTGTATTACACATTGACCGTTTCCCTATCATGTGTATCTGGGTAATAATTTTTATGATTTTGTGTGATGATCCTGATGTTTTCATACCTTTAATGAATTTGTTCGGATGGTTTTACAATAGAAAAGCACTTTGAATTGCCTTTCCACTGAAATGTAAAATACAAATACATTTTGACTAACTTGCTTTCACTCAGTCACATTACAGCTGATCATCAGCTTTTTACATCTTCAGCCTGAAAATGTAAAAATATTGAAATAGTGGCCTCTCATTAAGCCCACGTTTCTGCATTAGGCCCTATACAGGTTTTTGATAATTTTAATATCTAGATGTTATATTTTGATGAGCTGTAAGTGGAACGTTATAATTAACAGAAATATATATATATATAAAAATGCAAAAATATGAGATAGTATCTTATTATTATGAGAAAGAGTGTCATAATTATGAGAAAAAAATAATGTGATACCATCTTTAATTATGAGATAGCTAAGTCATAATTATAAAAATTTATCTTTTAATATTAGGATTAACTTTATTGTCCAAAGGAAATTTGATTTGGGCTGCTACATAGTCCAAACTATGTGTCACACTGCATTCACACATAAAAACACTGCTATACTGTAGCAGTTCCATTATAAGACAATAAATAAATACATAAGGAAGCATGTTACTTAACATTCACAATAAAATATTTGAAAAAAAAAAAATGTATAAAAATCCTTCTTTAAAAAATATTTTATATGAGATAACGAAAAACATAAAAAAAAAAAGCAGTCAGTTTAGTTGCCATTGCCTATTCCACAATTTACTTTCTTGATATTGTTTATTGGCTTAATGGAAAGTGGAACAAATATTAAAACTATAGATATTGAGATACTGTCTCATCGTTATGAGAAAATATCTCATAATTATGACAAACCAAATAACAATTGTGATACATACGTTTTTTTTTCCATAAGATTGGCTGAAATGTACAGAAGAGGATTAGGGCCACTTGAAAAAAATTAATTTAAAAAAGAGATTTTTAGACTTTATCTCAGTATAATATGAGAAAAAAAAATGTTTTCTTAGAATTCTGACTTTTTCTCAGAATTCTGACTTTAATCTCAAAATTCTGACTTTTTCCCATATTATACTGAAATAAAATTTAAAAATCAGCAACCTTTTTTTTCTCCATTTTTTTAGTGACCCTAATCCTCTTCCGTATAAATGTGCTTCCAAAGTTAAATAAACAAGTTAAAGAAAATAAAAAAAAGTGGAAAGCAAAATATTAGGGCTCTTATTTTGAAAGCGCCTTTCGGATGTCAAATGTTTCTTAATGATGTTTGAGCTCGTGCAGCTTAGAGGCGCTATGGAAAGAAGGATTACTTATAAAAATGAAACAGATGGGAATAGGTGGGAGAATGTATAATTGGATAGCAAATTTTCTACTAAATAGAAAAATAAGAGTAAAAATTGGGAATGACTATTCAAATGAATATAATGTTGAAAATGGAATACCACAAGGTAGTGTAATTAGTCCAATTTTATTTAATATTATGATCAATGATATTTTCTATGAAACTGATAAATGTATAAAATCTGCACTATATGCAGATGATGGGGCCATATGGATGAAAGGGAAAAATATTAAACATGTTGTAGAAAATATTAAAAAAGCAATTAGTAAAGTTGAAAAATGGTCTTATGAATGGGGTTTCAAATTATCAGCAACCAAATCTTGCTATATGGTTGTCACAAAGAAGAGAAATATTAATATAGAAACAATAACATTATATGGACAGACTTTAGAAAGAGTAACAGAATATAAATATCTAGGTTTATGGTTGGACAGTTCTTACTCATGGAAAACACATATAGATAACTTAGAAACCAAATGTAAAAAAGTTATTAATATATTAAAGGCTGTGGCTGGAAACAATTGGGGGGCAGATAGACAGTCATTATTAAGCATATACAGGGCTCTAATGAGAGCAATAATAGATTATGGCAGCATTATATATGGAGCAGCAGCTAAAACATCATTACAAAAAATAGAAAGATTACAGTGTAGGGCTTTACGAATATGTACAGGAGCAATAAAAACAACACCTATTAATGCTCTATTAATTGAAAGTGGGGAAACTCCACTTGAAATGAGGAGAATTAAATTAGCTTTAGCATATTGGATGAAAATTAAAAGTAATATAGATAATCATGTGAATTCAACTATTCTGCAAAATTGTTGGGAATATGTGAAGTTCCAAAGTAATGGATTTGGATGGATGGTTAGGAAATGGATTAAAAAGTATAGACTAGAAGACAAGGAAATAGCTCAATTTAACCCAATTAGCGTTATTCCTCCATGGCTAATACCTGAGGTTAATGTAGATTTGCAAATCAATACAATGAAAAATGATTGGAATATAAATGAAATAGGGATAAAAACTGATATTTATTTAAGAACTACATATAATAATTACCTTAAAATTTATACAGATGGTTCTAAAAATCTAAAAGGTTATGTGGGTATAGGAATATATATCCCAGAGTTTAAAAAATGTATTCACAAAAGAATATCAGATCAATTGTCGGTATTTACAGCAGAAATGGTGGCAGTTATATTAGGCTTGCAATGGGTGGAGGAGATTCGACCAATCAGGGTGGTGGTGTGCACAGACTCTAAAGCAGTAGTGGAAAGTATTAAGGGAGAAGGAAATAATAGAAAAGATTTGGTATTAGAAATTCATCATATTTTATTTAGACTATATAGGGGTGGCATTGATGTTTGGTTTTGTTGGGTGCCGGCACATGAAGGAGTAAAAGGCAATGAAAAGGCAGATAAATTAGCTAAAAGGGCTTTAGAGGGGGAAATAACGATTTCAATTCCTTTTGGAAAAGGGGAAGGGAAATCACTTATTAAAAGTAAAGAAATGGAGGAATGGCAAAAAATATGGAACGAAGATAGGAAAGGAAGAAGATTATATGAAGTGCAAAAGTCAGTTCGAATTCGAAACATTAATGAAAGAAACAGAAGAGAAGAAATAATAGTTAGTAGATTAAGAATAGGTCATACCTACTTAAATGACATGCTTTACTTAATAGGGAGGAAAAATAGTGAGAAATGTGAGAAATGTGGTGAAAAAGAAAATGTAGAACACATACTGATGAACTGTAAGTTATATGAACACGAAAGGGAAAAATTAAAGAGAATAGTTAGAAGTATAGGGCATGAATGGAATCTTAAAGGAATATTAGGAAATGAAGGAAACATAACAGATATTCATAAACTAAGGAAAGCATTGTTTTTGTATCTTAAGAATACAAAATTAAAAAATAGAATCTAATACAGGTGCTGGTCATAAAATTAGAATATCATGAAAAAGTAGATTGATTTCAGTAATTCCATTTAAAAAGTGAAACTTGTATATTATATTCATACATTACATACAAACTCATATATTTCAGATGTTTATTTTGTTTAATTTTGATGATTACAAATGACAACAAATGAAAATCTCAAATTCATCATATCAGAAAATTAGAATATTGTGAAAAGGTTCAAAATTGATGGCCCCTGGTGCCACACTCTAATCAGCTAATTAACTCAAACCACCTGCAAAAGCCTTTAAATGGTCTTTCAGTCTACTTCTATAGGCTACACAATCATGGGGAAGACTGCTGACTTGACAGTTGTCCAAAAGACGACCATCGACACCTTGCACAAGGAGGGCAAGACACAAAAGGTCATCGCTAAAGAGGCTGGCTGTTCACAGAGCTCAGTGTCCAAGCACATTAATAGAGAGGCGAAGGGAAGGAAAAGATGTGGTCGAAAAAAGTGTACAAGCAAGAGAGATAACCGCACCCTGGAGAGGATTGTGAAACAAAACCCATTCAAAAATGTGGGGGAGATTCACAAAGAGTGGACTGCAGCTGGAGTGAGTGCTTCAAGAACCACCACACACAGACGTATGAAAGACATGGGTTTCTGCTGTCGCATTCCTTGTGTCAAGCCACTCTTGAACCACAGACAGCGTCAGAAGCGTCTTGCCTGGGCTAAAGAGAAACAGGACTGGACTGCTGGTGAGTGGTCCAAAGTCATGTTCTCTGATGAAAGTAAATTTTGCATTTCCTTTGGAAATCAAGGTCCCAGAGTCTGGAGGAAAAGAAGAGAGGCACTTCATCCACGTTGCTTGAAGTCCAGTGTAAAGTTTCCACAGTCAGTGATGGTTTGGGGTGCCATGTCATCTGCTGGTGTTGGTCCATTGTGTTTTCTGAGGTCCAGGGTCAACGCAGCCACATACCAGGAAGTTTTAGAGCACTTCATGCTTCCTGCAGCTGACCAACTTTTTGGAGATGCAGATTTCATTTTCCAACAGGACTTGGCACCTGCACACAGTGCCAAAGCTACCAGTACCTGGTTGAAGGACCATGGTATCCCTGTTCTTAATTGGCCAGCAAACTCTCCTGACCTTAACCCCATAGAAAATCTATGGGGTATTGTGAAGAAGAAGATGCAATACACCAGACCCAACAATTCAGAAGAGCTAAAAGCCACTATTAGAGCAACCTGGGCTATCATAACACCTGAGCAGTGCCACAGACTGATCGACTCCATGCCACGCCGCATTGCTGCAGTAATACAGGCCAAAGGAGGCCCAACTAAATACTGAGTGCTGTACATGCTCATACTTTTCATGTTCATACTTTTCAGTTGGCCAACATTTCTATAAATCCTTTGTTTTTATTGGTCTTCAGTAATATTCTAATTTTCTGATATGATGAATTTGAGATTTTCATTTGTTGTCATTTGTAATCATCAAAATTAAACAAAATAAACATCTGAAATATATGAGTTTGTATGTAATGTATGAATATAATATACAAGTTTCACTTTTTAAATGGAATTACTGAAATCAATCAACTTTTTCATGATATTCTAATTTTATGACCAGCACCTGTAGATGTGAAGTAACGCTGCTACACACTCATGTACAGTAGGTGGCGGTATGCACCTTAAAGTTGCTTGTGATCCGCCATAATAGAAGAGAAGAAGAAGAAGAAGCTTAGAGGCGGGGCCTGCTCTGCGGTTGGCGGACAGAAGAAACGGGCTCCTTCGTCCAAACGTCTTTCGTCTCGTGGTTTCCTAGAAATGGCAACGACCGCAGAAGAGCTGCGGGAACAGGCGGACGTAGCTGCGCCCTCCACCCACCTCAACAACAATAACAACAACAATAACAATAATAACAAAGACACAGAGGCGGGGGAGAGCACGACCTCCGCCACCACCTCCGCCGCAGCCTCCGAACCAGGCGGGACGGCGTCGCAGAACGTCGGGAACGGCTCGGTCATTCAACCCAACGGGGGGAGTAACGGCAAGTGGGTCCGGCTGAACGTCGGGGGGACGGTGTTCCTCACTACGCGGCAGACTCTGCTCAAGGAGCAAACTTCGTTCCTGTATCGGCTCTGCCAGCAGCAGGACCTGCACTCTGACACGGTGGGTTTAGCCAGGAAGTACTAATCCTCTGGGAGATCCTAGAAAACAATAGTTAGACTTAACAATGCAGAAATAAAGAGAGAAAAAATACCTGGAAAGTTCCATGACCTCCATCAAAGGTGGCAGAGGTGATGTGTTAAAATCCTGTGGGACATTTACACTATAGGAAGAAGATTTATATAGGGATGTAACGGTACACTAAATTCACGGTTTGTTATGTACCACACAATAGTTAAAAGTAAGGGGAAAAAAGTGTGTTTTATTAACATATTTACTCAAATTTAAATCAAAGCCATTTGTTTTGATTGGCATATTTGAATGATAAAAAAAATCAGGCCTATACATTTTTATATTTTTAATCCTGCTGCTTGCTTTTTACACTTTTCAATGAAAAATATTTCACATGATGTGAAATATATTTTTCAGATGTCATTTTAGATGTAAATCAGATCTAAAGTGACATCTGAATTTCAAGAGTGGAATTTAATGGAAACAGCTTCTTCTTGTCAGTTCATTTAATTGTCATAAAAACTCAGCATCACAGCTCTTTTGCTCAGATTGCCTGATTAACAAATGCATAGATAAATAACATTCACCTGAAGGTAACCTATAAAAATGCTCTTTTGTGAGAGAGAAAACTACATACTGTAGATAAAAATGAATGTTGCAGGCGGATATTTATTTAGTGTGGGCGGGTATTGGTAATTTATTTAGCAATTAAAAAAATGTTGAGTGAGGTCCTCCTTAAAATAAACCTTCATATATTTTTCTGTGTTGTCATGTTCATGGATTAAAACTGACAAAATATAATTGTAAAGAAAAAAGAAGGGACAGGATGCAGTTTACGTTGTGTTAATGGATCAGGTTGAGGGTTAAACATCAAGGGGTCGGATTTTCATTTAAATGGAAGATATCTGCAGGTTTGTGCAAATTGACCCCTTGCACGACTCGGACCGTGCAAACTAATGTACCATGTAAAGATTCACATTTAATTTTGTCCGGTGGCATTCAAAAACTTAGTGAAACAATTAACTGCTAAATAAATGAGTCCTGCATCCAACAGGTTTGTGCCGAACCGAGATTAATGTATGGTTCAGTTGGTCACAAATCGCGTACCATTACAGGCCTTTTAATTACCTAACTGGACTAATGTTTACACTTGGGCTGAAGAAACTAATCGGATTAATCGATTTTTGAAATAATCATCAACTAATTTAGTAATCGATTAATCGTTAAATGGAGTATAGAGACTGTTAAAACTGCCTTTAGCTGACAGAGCGACCCACTTAGAGCAGTAATTATATCAAAATTGTAACAAAAATATGTAAACATTTTGCATTTAAGATACAAAAAAAAACCCATTTACATCTGTCAGTATGCTCTATCCAGAACTCATCAAGTAGAAAAGTTTTAGTTTCACCCGGTTTAATTTTTTTAGAAACTCTTCTTTAAGTCTATTAATCGAAAAAATAATCGACAGATTAATAGATTTGCAAAATAATTGTTAGTTGCAGCCCTACTTTACACTGCTTGTAGTTAGCTTTCCGATTTCTGTGTTGCACCAAGTTTTAATTTACAAGCACACAAAATTTTAGGTTAAAAGTTGGAAAAACTCAATTTAAAAGTACTATCGGTGTTGATTTTTTGTTTTTATATCTCTTATTGGTGTAAAATGACTTTGAAAACACAACTGGGTAACTGGGGTTGTGATTTTATAGGATATTAAGTTTTTAAAGCGTTCCAAAATATGATAAATAAATAGAAGCCGCCAGCCTGCTAGAGTGGATTACATTGCAGGCTGCACAAGAATGGTGCCAGCCAGCTGCTATGATTAAATATTGTAAATTTCATGAGTGCTTTGAACAGATTCCACTTAGATTCTGAGTTGGATTTAAGATGCAAAGCCATTTAAACTAAATGATACAGAGTTTAAGTCAAATGAAACCTAAGTAATGATGGATTCTGCTTGGAAATTATGATGATGGATCAGATTCTGAACAGCTTATTTTCCTGTTTGAATTTCTTTTTCTTAAATGCTGTTCCTCTTGTAAAAGCTTGAATTATTATAGGATTTGCCAGTACAGTACCTAAGCATTCAATGTGAACTCATTAGTCACCGAAACAACTGATGATGTCTTACTTTGTGTCTAAAACTGCAGCAGAGATAACTGGATTACCTGCTAAATCGGGGTGATAGAGATTTGTTGTAATTTTCTTTGAAGATGTCATGAATCCTGCTGCATGAGCACCAAAGCTTTTATTCACCATGTGTTGCATTACTGGTGGACCTTGGACTAGAAATCAGCAAAGTGGTCTAATAACAGCATTGCCTAGGCTGGGTGGATGGTTTTCTTATCATGTTAAGACATCTGAAATGGAAAGTGAAACAGACCAGTTGACATACTTTCTGCTTAATTTGTTTAACATCATTTTACTATTAACCGTCAAATATAACAAACTGGATAAATAAAACACGATGCAGATTAAACTGTTAACTATTCAGAAAATCAGCACTTTTAAAGAGCCATGCATGCTACAAAACATGAGTGACTCCTGTTTTTAACTTGCTGTTGACAAGTAATAAAACTGAAATCTGATCTGTTAGTGCTATATTATTTATTTAGCTTCTTTTGAAGCCTTGAAAAGAGTGCTCTTTTCTCCATTGGTATTTTGCTGCAGCGCTGCCTTGCCGCAGATATGCACCGCCGTATCTTCACTGTAGGTGTTCTGTAGGCTGATGCGGGCTCTTTCTGCCCTCTCTTTGTGTTTGTGCATGTGCTTTGGTTTGTGGTGTGAAAGCAGCTTGGCTCAGATGGATGAACACGTGCTGCCTCTTCTTGGAGGGAGCTGCACAGTTGGTAGCTGTACAGCTGGTATCTTACGGGGACACAGAGAGGGAAAGCTATTATGTGTCTGCCAGTCACATGCAACCTCAATACGCTGTAGGGACAGTAGAGTCTCATAAATGATGCAGATTTCCTTTATGCTGCAGTCGTTTGATGTGGATGTGTGGTACTCAGAACGAAGGCTCTGAGAGCGTTCTGTGCAGCCTCCACACGTTTTAATAAACTGTTTTTTATAGAGTTAGATAATTTGACAATGGTAAGGAATATAAACTGCTTGCTGGGGATATTATTGATTAAATACCCGGTGCATTGCAGTGAAACTTTAGGTAGCACTGCAGCAGCAGCAAAAAGAGACAACTGGCGACATTTAGAGAGCATCTTTAAACAAATGAGCATCCTAAGCCCATGTAGCATTTGAGGGTTTTACATACAAGCAGGGTTAATGTTTCAGTCTGCCTTGTTAAACTTAGAGCCACAGTTATTAGATTTTCTTTCTCTTAACTGTTAGAGTAGGGTGGAAACATCACTGAGGACATAACCAGCTGCAGAACAGTTTGCATTGAAGTTGCTGTTGATTGAAACACTTTGGCTAAATCTCAGGATGTTGTTCAAGTTGTTTTTTTTTCATTATTATAAGGATATATAACAGATATTATTATAACAGTTGCTGTAAATCGATTTACTAAAAGATCAGAACTGATGTTCTTGGCTTTCATGGGAAATGGTGTGGTACATGGTGAAACACGTCAGGAGGATTGCTTAATGAAATGCATTCCAGTCTTCAATATGTGCAATATTATTGTTAGGAAAAACTAGCTGTGAGGTAATGTTTTGCTGGTTATTTTACATGCCTAAACAGCAACATTTGGATGGAATCTCACTGCTATTATGTCTACAGCCTATTTAGATGATAGTAGCTGAGGTGCTAACTAGGGTTTGATTGAATAATTATACAAATTTTAAATCTTGAGTAGGAACCTTTTGTCTTTTCTGTTTCTTGCACATCTGAAATCCGACGCACTAGCAGCATCACAATCCCTGATGTTTGCAACTGTAACGTCAGTGGCAGATTCTTTAAAGTTTCTCCAAATTTTCAAGCATTCCGAAATGATATTAAAAGTTTTCATAAGTTACTGGAGAAAAATTAGGCCTTAAAGTTTTCAGACTTGATAGCAATATACTTTAGTTAAACCCCTGTGTTTTTAATTGAATTTTAATTTTCTTTCTCATTCTTTTATATTGTTTCTTTTTCTGAAAGAAAACTGTTATGGATGGCATATGTTCAATTGTACGTTTCTGCTTTTCCGAAAGTGTTTTTTGGATTTATTAAAATAAAAGTAACGTTAGTGTCCAAGGATCCAGCACAAGTTCTCCAACCAATCCACATTCAGACCAGACCAGACAATAAGATTTAGAGCCAATATTGGAGCCTAAAATTGATTCCTTTCCAAAAAAACCCAAAAACAAATATTAATAATTCTTATCTACAAAAAAAAAAAGTAAAATAATTTACTCATAATTTGAGCAAGATACTCTAAGGGATGAATCTGGATCAAGCAGCTAGATTTAGACTGTGGTGACTTTTCCACTGCAGCATCAACAGGCAGTGTGGAAAAAAAAGTCCCCCGGGTGACTCTCTCTGAGCTGGAACCAGCTCCCTCTGCATGTTAGAGCGCCCGTCTCACACAAACATAGGAATCATTTTCTAGAAGAATTAAAATAACCACAGCTGCACCCCCACTTATTGACTTTATAGCATCCCTGCTCCAAATCCAACCCAATAAGTTGATTATTCGTTTAAAAAATACGTTTTTGTGCACAATTTATTTTGAAGCCCAATTGTTTTTTGTTTTTTTAATTTGCCACCAATGCTTGGTGGCAAATCTCTTTTAATCAGGATTTTCTGTTTGTAATACCTCTACCATGTATTTTTCTATTTTTTCTTGTTTCTAATTTTTATTGTTTTCTGCTGTTGTGTGACTCGGCTTGCTTCCATCCATCTGATTTGTTGCTGGTACGCCTACATTTCCCAACTGAGGGACATTGCTCTTTATTACTTTTCAGGTTTTTTTCTCTATCTGTTTTGTTCCTGGCTTGTTTTATCTCATCTGCTCACCATATTGCTCTCTAACTGGACGGCATAAGATGGTTTCC